AGACACTCGTCCGGAAAGTGGCACACGCGGAATCACCTAACCTACTCCCGGAAACCTGACCTCCCATCAAGCTTTCACCCTTAATGGCCGCTTGGGAGTTCCTAGAAGGGAAGAGAGACTCCCACACACAATGTTGACGAAGCTTCTCTCTCTCTCTCTCTCTCTCTCTCTCTCTCTCTCTCCGGCTGACCATAGTGATGATGATCGATCCAGCAGCCCAAAATACAGTGTTGCGGCAGCAAAAGCTCCACCTCTAACTCCATCCGGCAATGGTCATCTTTGGGGTCCATCTGAGCGCTAGTGACGGCCGAGGCCCCCCTCACAAGCAACACACATGTCTTTAGTTCAATGCCTCATCTGAAGATGGGCAAACCTGGGATGCCCTCGTTTCTCCGGTAGCGTACGTAGACGGGAAGGTTTTTTCTAGCTATGGTCCATACAAGCGTACAACACATGAGAGTTCAGTCATCCGCGCATACAGGTCGCAGTCAAGCAATATTGATATGAGGTCATGCATGTTCAGAGCAATCACCCTATATGCCTGAATGCTTGGTGTCGTACGCCGTGCCCATACACCATGCTCGTACGCTCGGAGCATGACGGATTGAAGAGGGAGATGATAAAAACATCACATCATGAGAAGTTTTCCATTCACACCAAACACTTAGACTGTCTAACGACCTTCGTGTAAGGAGCCAGGCGGTGATGCCAACGAGAGATCTACGAGAGACCTGAGGGATATAATGGATCGTAGTCATTACGGGTAATCCGCCTCGTGATCCGTTCGGGGCTGAGTCACATCGTGCTCCACACACCCGACACAACTTGATGTTGAGGTGCATGTGCTCCGGGAAGCCACCCACGCTCTAGAAGATTTGGCTCAAGGGTTTCGGAGGTTGATGCCAGGAGAAGGTCGTACACGGGAACTATTACTCGAAGGCTGGAAAGCACTGTTGCTAAAGGGGTAAAGACCTTGCAACGCGGAGCTATTACTTGAAGGCCTAGAAGCACTGTTGCTAAAGGGCTACAGACCTTGCAACGCGGAGCTATTACTTAAAGACCTAGAAGCACCGTTGTCAAAGAGGTACAAAACTTGCAACGCAGAGCTGTTACTCGGAGGCCTTGGAGCACCACTACTAACAGGGGTACAGACCTTGTAACGCTGAGCTGTTACATGAATACTCAGAAGCATCGCTGCTGAAGGGCTACAAACCCTACAATGCGAGGCTGTTACATGTATACGTAGGAGTACCGTTGCCAAAGGGTTACAAACCTTGCAACACAAAGGTATTACATGAAGGCGTGGAAGCGCCATTGCTAAGGGGTACAAAACTTGCAACACATAGCTGTTTCATGGGGGCGTGCAAGCTGTTACACGATGGCGTGCAAACAGCTCAGGTAGAGGGAACTCAGGGCTCATGCCATCAACAACATAGCTACAAACTACTAGGAGGGTTAGCTTACAAGTCGACCCTGAGAGACCAGAACAGAAGATCAAGACCGGATTAATCTTACAAGTTGAAAATTACGACAATGCTTATAGATCAAGTGCGGAGCACAGAGCACCTTCTCAAATTCTATAGGCCGAGCATCGTAACTTTGTAGATTAAGTGCGGAATCCTTCTCAAATTCTATGAGCGGATCATTGCAACCTTGCAGATCAAGTGTAGAACGCAGAGCAACTTCCCAAGTTCTGAGGTCTTTTAGTTCTTTCATTACTTAAAAAAATTCTGTTTTTTCAGTCTTGTTTAATGATGTCCGACCTCACTAGGAAATGAACGAGCGGCGGCTTAAAAAAATATAAAATAAATAAATAAATAAATAAATAAATAAATAAATAAATAAATAAATAAATAAATAAATAAATAAATAAATAAATAAATAAATAAATAAATAAATAAATAAAAGAATAAAATAATATTTAAAAGAAGAGAATATACTATCATGCCCCGCCCTCGGTGTTTAGTCATCCACGGCTTGATTCTCGGGCAAAGAAATGTTCAATTACTTTCTAAGTCCAGGATTAGCTGATTGGTCAAGGCGATTGTGGGACCGGCCTTCGGGTCGAAAAGGTATGCGAGAGGTCGTGCCCCGAATCCCTCTCGTACATCCGTTGTCTGACGCTAATGTCTAAACAGCTCGCATACTCGTTTGATCTAATCAACGGTGCGGCGACTGTAAGACCAGCCTTTGCGCTGAAGTTATGCAAATAGTTGTGCCCCGAGCACATATCGTACATCCATTGTCTAACGTTGCTAGGCTTAAAAACCTGCATACTCATTTGATCCGGCCAGTAGTGCGGGTCCGTTCTGGTTTGATCATGCAAGGCCTCACCCTTACATGTGGCCTACTTCAACTCGATTTTCAGAAAAGGATTAACCATAATATTTCCTAAGTATGAAACTTTCTGCAAGGTGGTGTAAGACCGGCCTTCGGGTCGAAAGGTATGCGAGGGGTCGTGCCTCAAACTGCTCTCATACACCCATTTTCTGACCACTAGCCGAACAGCTTGCACACTTATTTGTCTTAGATTGACAGTATGCGTGTTAGCCCCGCCTTACCAAGCAAGGCATGGTCAAGGTTAGCAGGCTTTGCCAACCTTCTTCCCCTCACGGCCTACGTGGGGAGCCAGATCCCCTATTAGTTCTCCAAGTATTCTTGAATGCAAAGCGACCAAGTAAACCGAAAGGATGAACGGTTGATACATACAAGCTCAAGCGATAAAACAATCATGAAGAACAACGCCAAGATCATGGCCATCTCCCCCGACGCATCATGGAAAACGATTCCAAGTTAAGGTCGTGCATGACTCCACCAAGATTATCAGGATCCTATTGGAAATGTAAAAAAGGCTAAGTCTCGAGACCGTCATCATTGCCCACCTTCTCCGCCTCATCAAGGCTAGACACGATCTCGGGCAAACCAAGCAAAAGATGAGCTCTCTAATGGGTGGGCCTTGAAGGCTGCAACTGTCTGATGCCCTGCATCACGAGACCACGCTTCCATGTGGTCTGACTTTTATTTAAGTTCGGACGAAGCTGTCATATCCTTGGTCGCAGTCACGCTCGGGCATGCTTCGATCATCTGCTCCATGGCAAGCGGTGTATACATTCAAGGCATAATATGCTTTCTTCGCCCGCTCCTGAGCTTAGACTACCCGTCGCTTGTTCAAGCTCTTCTTCAGCAAGCTTCGAAATTCAAAGTATGTGGTCATGACGAGGTCAGTAATCATCACCTCACCATCCATCCCAATTCAGGCACACTCATCTCCAATCCAAGTTTGTGTAGGGCTATCTCCAGGCCAAGTTCATGCAGGGCTATGTCCAAGTCAGGTTTGTGCAGGGCTATCTCCGGGCCAAGTTCGTGCAGGGCTACCTCCAAGTGAAGTTCGTGCAGGGCTATCTCCAGGAGTGCAGGGCTACCTCTAAGTCAAGTTCGTGCAAAGCTACCTCCAGGCCAAGTTCATGCAGGTCTACCTCCAGGCCAAGTTGTTACCTTCAAGTCAAGTTTGTGCATGGCTATCTCCACGACAAGTCCGTGTGTCACACCCCAGACCGCAATCCAAGCGCGTGTACAACCGCCGTATAACCAAGTGACGTCACCCGCGAGTCAACCTCACTTAATTACACAAGGCGTTCGAGAAAATAATCCATCCATACTCAGTAGTAAACATACATAACAACATCACATTTAAACCAATGAATAGCGGAAATATTCAACGGTAAGTCATAAGCCACAACCGGCCAACAACATGGGCATGCAAGCCCCGAAAAATAGTTTATAGTAGAACAAATATCCATGAGCAAGTGTTCGGTAGTTTGAAAGAAAATAAGGAAGCACGAACCACGTCTTCCTGAAGTTGATATCACCCGTAAGAAGGTTCAAGTAGCAAGCCCTAGCTTCAACCTGAAAATGGTGGGGGGGGCCCCGAAGGGGTCAGTACAAGTACCGAGCGAGTAGCAGGCTAAATATAGAATAACTAGCGTTTCAAGTATAAGACCCAAACATAGGGTGATACTTATATAAATAGTCTTTCCCCAAGTTATGAAATACTTATTGGTATATGTATACTTGGAAAATATCCGATCCGTAGATCACCATTTTATTTGGGAAAACTAGTAATAGTCAATATTCTTGACTAAAAAACCCAACCCACCCATATACCTATGAGTGTATAGGACTCCTCCTTGTCCCTATTTCAATATCATAATCTATGAGTTTTGAGGATCATAATCCCTGGGTACGCCACCAACTTATATTTGAGTGTTAAGGACTTTTAGTCCTAGGGTCCTCCACCAATTTATAATCCGAGTGTTAAGGACTTTAAGTCATAGGGTCCTCCACCAATTTATAATCCGAGTGTTAAGGACTTTAAGTCCTAGGGTCCTCCACCAAATTTTGAGTGTTAAGTACTTTTAAGTACTAGGATCCTCCACCAAATCTTGAGTGTTAAGTACTTTTAAGTACTAGGGTCCTACACCAAATTTTGAGTGTTAAGTACTTTTAAGTACTAGGGTCCTCCACCAAAATATTTTCCTATGATCAACCTCCTATCAACCTAGATAGAGTCTATATCATACTTAGTTACTCATAACTATTTCAATACATAAAGTTTATGTATCACAATCCATGCAAAACCATGCAATTATATAAATGTATAATTAACTAATATCCACCGATATTAATTAATCCATTATCCATCGGTCAACGTTGTTGTTGACCACTATTCCAAGTCTTACACTTATCAACTTAATCATCATGTAATTAAGTTAATAATATTCATTGGTGCTTCTTATACATTTCAAACAAATATGCATTTTATATAATTCTTCATATCATATTCCATGCATAAACAATTTATTTCTTTCATACAAACTTAACCCTATTGGCTAATCACATGTTTAAATATCTTTTAAACATCATTATGAACTCATATAACATTTATTTAGGTAATCTCATAATTAACCCAAAAGTTATAAGATATTAAGCCGTCCACTCACCTTGAACTAGCGTTATGAAGTTCTACCCCTCTTGGTTGAACTCCGGTGAAACTCCGGCGACTTTTGGTCAACTCCGGCGACAACTCCGGCGAATTTTCCAACTTTGTGAAATCACTTGAAATGACTTTTACAAGTGCCTAACAAGGTTTTATAATCATAAAACTCATATTAATACAAATAACCTCTAAAAGGCTATTTTTCGGTGAACCGGTCGTTTTGGCTTCTAAGTCCGTTCTTGGACGTAGAACCATCCTCCAACCCATAAATCCATACTTATAACATGTGAAACCATACTAAGGGTCCTTCACATGATATATATCTCATATGGTAAAAGAAAAATGAAGAAGAAGTTACAATAAGGTCATTACCTTAATTCTTCACTTTTCCCAACCTTTTCCCTCTTTAATCTTCCTTCTTTGGGCACTTAAGCTTGAGCTCGAATTTGGTGGCTATGGAGGATGAGTTGATAGGTTTCTTTCCTCTTCCTTGGTGCTTGGTCGAGCTAATGAGTGAAGGAGGGGAGGGGATGGCTCTCTTTGTCTCATTTGGCAAATGAGTGAGGAAAAGGGCCCCTTTGGTGTACCTTTGATGCCAAAGTCTCCTCCTCCACACCTTCCTTAGTCAACTCCAGCTCCCATTTGTCTAATCTAGCACAAAAAAACGTGGGGTGGCCCTCACTCATGTGGGAGGTCATCCCTTTGTGTCCCGGTGTGTACAATCGGTCCTGAAAGTTGTATTTTTCGGACTGTTTTAATCATATTTTATTTTATCGGGTAAAATAAAATATATTATGTGTTCTCAATCATAACACCCCTTTGAAATAATCTATATTCCAAAACTTTAATTTGGAAGTCTCCGAAATTCATTTCTGGGCTGCTATCTGTCAAATTGTCGGTACCGGTAATTGGGCTTCTTTTGACCTATCGGTCAACCCGAGGCCCTCCCATGGCCTAAATAAGATATCCATACAATAAAAATATTATCCCGACCCATAAGAATAATTTATGTGATCTCGGGAATATCGGGGCGGCCCCCGCTCCCAGTGTGGGTCCCACGTGCAATTTACTATTCACGCGAAAGAAATAATAAAAATTTACAACTTCATAAATTCATTAATTCTTTAATAAGGTTCAATACATTATTTACATAAAAGTAAATATATTTGGGGACGGTGTTACACCGTGTGGGGCTATCTCGAGGTCAAATTCATGCAGAGCTATCCCATGGCCGAGGTTACGCACGCATGGTAGTGCATGAATTACGTATGGGTTCATCGACGGGCGAGATACAACCCCGGCTCCGAGCTTGGGTCTCTCTCGCCCACGGGTAAATCTTGGCCGATTTTGGTAAGAAACGATCTTACCAGATTTTGCACAAACTTAGAATATATTACCTCCGTCCCTTAAAATTTTGTCATCTTTGACTTTTCAAGTCAATGTTGGTAAAGTTTGGACCATAATTTTAATTAGTATAAAATGTTATGAAAGTGATAAGTTTTATACTTATATGAAAATACTTTTAACAGGGAACATTTTCATATAATTTTTAAATTATAAATAATTTTCTATAAAAATATATGATTGGTCAAAGTTGAACATGGTTAACCAAAAAATCCAAAGATGACAAAGTTTTAAGAGACGGAGTATATTTTACACGAGTATATCCGTACAACTAGTACTGGTTTTAGAAAAATATATTGGTACTGATTTAATGAAAATATATATTTACTTCTATGGCTGCAAGAATAGGTTACATGTTTTCAAAATATTACTCCGTATATTCTTTGTCGTATTTTGACCAGTATCTATTTTAAAACTTTGTTATCAAGAGGGTATATTTTCCAAAGTCAATATTTTACCTCATTGGCAGATCTTGATAGTATTTGACTTAAAAATATATTTTATATACTCATGCAACTAGTATTTATTTTTGGAATTTTATTTAAATGTATAATTATAGTAGATGTTATACCTCCGTCCCATTGTCTCATTTGATTTTGACACGATTTTTAACAAAGTTGTTGAAAAAGTAAAAGTTGTGATTGAGATTTGAGTAAAATAAAGTGAAATGTTGTGAATCACACATTTCTTTCTAAAAAGGGAAATGTGACAATTATTTTAAGACAACCTAAAAAGGAAAGTAAGACAGGTAAAATGAGACAGAAGGGGTAATATTTTTAAAAGTTATTATTATTTCACATCAAGTGAGGTTTTTGAAGAATTTTGATAAAGATATATTTGAAATTATTTAGAATGATGGATTAAGTAAGGATGTTTTGATTGAATTGAAATTTTCTGATCTAGTATAATCTGAGTTATTATATTTCTGGTCATTGTTATTTTATTACTGTCCAAATCTAATATGGTCTGATCTGATATACAACAACAACATCAAAGCCTTAGTCCCAAATGAAATTGGGGTCGGCTAACATAATCGATACATGATATCACCAAAAGAAAAAGAATGAAAATAAAGATAAAAAAGATAAGCTATTATAAAAGAGATGAATATACATATAAAAGATAAAATAAAAAGGATAAAATAATATTTATATACAAGGATAAAAGAATAAAAAATAAGGAAAAAAGGAGGGGAAAAGATGATACAAGATCACTCCACCACACGAATACTCGCCCTCCACTTTGCTCTCTCGAAAGTCATACCCTCATCCAATCCAAGAAGAAGCATATCATTTCTGACTCCCCTAATCCACGTCTGTCTGGGCCTTCCTCTCCCTCTCTTCCCTGCCTCTTCTCCACACATCTCAACTCGTCTGACAGGTGCATCACTCGGTCTTCTATGCACATGACCAAACCACCGTAAGCGCGACTCCCGCATCTTATCCTCAATAGGTGCTACTCCCACCCTTTGTCTGATTGCCTCATTTCTCACGCGGTCCTTTCTAGTATGCCCACACATCCAACATAGCATGTGCATCTCTGTCACACTCATCTTTTGAATGTGACATTGTTTCACCGCCCAACACTCCGTGTCATACAGTAATGCAGGCCTAATTGCTGTCCTATAAAATTTACTCTTCAGTCTAGTCGGCATACCTCGATCGCATAGATATCCCGACGCACTCTTCCACTTCATCCACCCTGTTCTGATTCTATGGGATACATCTTCATCTAACTCACCGTCCTTCTGAATCATAGAGCCACCCAAATAACGGAACATATCGCTGACCGGTATCTCCTTACTATCTAGAGTAATTCCGCTATTACCACTGCTTCTACCTCCACCAAACTTGCACTCCATGTACTCTGTCTTGCTCCGACTTAGTCTGAAACCCTTGTTCTCCCAAGTTTGTCATCATACTTCCAACTTTGTTTTAACCTCTGATTGCGTCTCATCAATCAATACAATATCGTCGGCAAACATCATGCACCACGGTATATCGTCTTGGATGGTGAATCAACATTTCTATTTTCCCTTTGTTATTGTATAAGAATTTCTTGTTATATATCCTTAAAAAAAGTAAATTATGTACTGTGAGATAAAAAAAATGCGTGTAAGATAGGTTAATAAAATAAATGCAAAAGTAAAGGTACAAGGTTAATTTTATACTCCCTCTGGTTCTAATTCTCCTTTACAGTTTGACTTCACAAATATTAAGGAAAAAAATCGACTTTACTGTAGAGTACACTGTTTAACATTGTTTGGCATTGTTTGGCACTGTTTTGCACTGTTTGGTGTAGATTTGTAAGGCAAATAAGGAAGGGTGAAGTTGATTCTGGTACTGACAAAAAATAAAAGTGTAAAGAGAATCAGAACCGCAGGGAGTAATAGAAATTTCCAAAAATGGAAATGTGAACTTTAATTTAGGACTTGGGAAAAAAACTGAGAACTTGTCTGAAAACCGGAGGAAATATCATGTACTCCTCAGTCCTCATTAGGCCTGGACTCGGGTCGGGTCGGGCCCGGGCCGGGTCAGGCCCGGTCGGGCCTTGGAAGTTTGGGAGCAGGCCCGAGACCGGCCCGTGCCGAGGCCAGTGCCGGTTCGGGCCGGGTCACCCGCCTGGGTCCCGGGCCGGGCCGGGCCACCCGCCGGGTCGGGTTGGGTCTATATTTTTTCCCCCTTTTCTGCTTATTTATACAACTTTTGCATATTAAAAACAAGCTTCAAGTGCATTTATGTGAAATAGGAACTACATTTGAGAATTGAGAACAAAAATACAATATGAAATACATTTTCTAATAAATAATAATATAATTAATTCTAAGTTGTAACCAATTAATTAACTAATAGGATAACGAGAAATGTAACAATTAACTAGTTTTATACTTTGAGTATTGAGAAAAGTAACCATTAAGGATGTTTTTACTTAGACTGTAATTTGTCCCAGACCAGCTCAGACTATACTTGGATAGTTATAAATATACAAAGAAACCAGACCAGTTCAAACCTGACCAGACCAGATCAGACCAGACCAGCAAATTACAGTCCAATTAAAAACATCCTAAGTAGTTTAAAAAGAAGCACCAATTAAAGTATTAAACGCAACAAGTACTAAATATTAATTAACTAATAGGATAATGAGAAATGTGACAATTAACTAGTTTAAATCTTCAAAAATTAAACGAGACATGTATTAATTAACTAATAGGATAATGAGAAATGTAACAATTAGCTAGTTTTATACTTTAATGAGAAATGTAACAATTAACAAATTAACTAATAGGGAAATGAAAAATGTAACAATTAACTAGTTATATACTTTAATGATAAATGTAACAATAAATAAAAAATGTAAGTAATAGAAAAAATGATTGAATGTGTATAATAATTAATGGGAGTGTGAGTTTATAAGTAGGATGAATTTAATTACTATGAATTCAAGTGTAACTAATATAATTGAACAACTAATATATAATATAATGTTTATAGTATATAATATATAAGTATATTACTAGAAGATGAGTAATACACTTATATTTAATACTTTAATATATATAAGTAAATAACAATAAGTATAGATAATAAGTAGATATCAAAGTAAATATTAAGAAGATAATAAGTATATATTAATTAGATAATAAATATTAGTAATATAAATTATATAATATATGTATATATAAGTAGATAATGAATATATAAGTAGATATAATAATCTTAAAAGCTTATAATCCTCAATGAGGGTTAGAGCATTTTAGGGTAAACAATTGTGTTAGTGTAATCATTTGCTTTATCAGGTGGTACATTGTGTTTTGAGTTGTGTACTCTTTTATATGAATTTACTTTTCCTTATGATTTCCGTTAATAACTTCCGTCTTTTACAGCTTCTCTTCTCTTGGTTTTCTTCCATGACCTCCGCTTCTTGTCTTCTCTCAGGGTCAGCGGCTTCCAAGTTCTCATCCTGGTATCCTGCAGCAGGTCTCCCGTCTCATCCGCGCCCATCTATGCCATCTTGTCGTGCCAACCGTCCATGTCATAACTCTGGACAGTGAACGACGACATTCTCCAGGCTAAGGAAAAAAAGCCTATACGCCTCTCAAACCTCTTTGTACCTTCTGAGATTCAGGGATCCAGTTCTTCTTTAGCGAATGGTACGATTCTTTATCCAATTGTCTTTTATTAATCGATTTTCAATACGTGGATTGTTCCTCACACGGCAGATTTATTAGGGGTTGACAAGCGAGAACAAGGAACCTTTTTTTGCTGAGCTCTACTCATCTCCTTTGGTCTGACTGCTTTTCTTCATATTTCGAAGAATACACTTCAAAAGTTAAAATTTGGGATGGAGGATGTACTTATTGTCAAATAAATCTTAACAATATGGAAAATTCAACATCAACCCTTGTGATTTCGTTTATCAATTACAAAATGCGAAATAGAACAAGGATATTGCATCTATGTGGCATTTTAGTTAACTTTCAAAGGACTTTAACTGACCAAGTGTGGAGCTTGGGAGGAGGTTGTGGTCTTGTGGACAGTCCAACGGACACGCACTCAATTATTAGTGTTTAGTTAATGTTTAATTGCTGATCGATGAACTCTTACTATAGGATTTGAGTAAGGTTGGACTTAAATTATTCTGGTCGAGTAATATCATATTGATATATATGGAGTAATAGAGTGCCTAGAAAAAAACCGTGTTTAATGATTTAAGAATTCGTTTTAGTTGCTAAATTGATTTTTATAGGTTCGTTAATATACTGAATTGAGTTATAAGTAGCATTAAGTAGGTTTTTAGAAGTAGTATTAGTGTATTTTTGGATCGTTTTCAACCTTATAACACATAAATATCTAATGGTATTGTTTGTTTAAAAAAAGGAGAACAACTTGCTATGACCCTTAGAGAGACCCTTAGACTGCATTTAGCTCTATATAACATTTTATTATAAGCCTGAAGGGAATAGATTTAGAAGTGCACACAGAGCCTTCATATAGAAATAAGAGAAATGGAGAATGCAAGCGGTACCACCATAGTAATAAGCTCATGATTGATTTCTTTAGAAAAGTTTATCTAAAGCTTCTATAAAAGGTGTGATTATGTTCTGCACATTGTTGATCCTTATAGTTCTGATCTCCTTCAAATTTTGAGGATATTTCAACTTAGGAATATCCTAAGTTCTTCTTCTAAGTTAGGATTTTTGAACTCGTAGTATTCTGGGTGAATACATTTAATGTAAATTTTAACATTTTAAGAATCAAACAATAGTAATGCCATAAGTCTATGTTGGATTTGGCCATCTGAATTAGTCTTCTCCAATATGCATTTTCTAATATCCACCCCAAGTAATATAATAAAGTTTTCAATTACACCAATGATTCAGTTTAATGAGATTCTTGATATTGAATAGACTTAATTCTAATTTCTAAATATTTGGGAGATGGTGAAATCATACCTTGCAGTGGGGAATGTGGTATTACATGTAGTGGGGAGAATGTGGCAATTTCTACATACTGTCTCTTTCTTTCCAAGTCCATTGAGAACGGAACCAATTCTTTTTCAAGCTAGCATGTATTCACAGGTTTTCCATATTTGAAGGTAGAGTGTTCCAAATGGGTTTCAGATTAGATGATTATTTTCATAATATTTTGATTAACGTGTATACTGTGTGGTCACATTGGTGATGCCAGGAAGGTATTTGATGAAAGTCATGTGTGACTTGGTTTCGTGGAACTCGATCTTGCCCAAGCATGTTCAATTGGGAATGTTGAGACATGAATGCTAATTTAAGATAAGATCAAATGCGGTAGAGGAATGTGATTATCTCTAACTCTATGATTATGGTGTTAGATAGATGTGGTGGTTGTCTAGCTGAAACTTGCCATTTGTTTAATGAAATGGATGCCATTTGTACAACAATTTGACTTCCAAGCTAGCGTTGATTTCATGCCAAGAACAAAATGGGTCTAAATGTCTAATAAAGAAGCTTTAGATTTGTTCGTGCATATGGCTTCCATCGGGATTGTTATATATGATGTTGTGGCAGACGTGTGCTTTGAGCTTGTACACATTTATTGATTCTAGAGACCGGGAAATCACGACGTGAGATGGTCACTAAGATTGGGTTTGAATCATACCAAACAAAAAAACCAAGTATTTGAAGAAATCCTATATATTATTAAGGCCACAAACTGTATTGGGCATTTTGATGTCGCGCAACGCGCGCAATAAAACTAGTAATTATATATATGTGTGTGTGTAGAGAGAATTGGAGAAGATGAATATGGAGATGATTGAGTATTTCAGTTATTGAGTATGAGAGAGTAGAGAATTTGAGAGTAGGATTGTATGAAGATGGTGTAAAAATGTATAGAAAATAAGAGTATAAATAGGATTTCTTGGTATCCCCACCCCACCCCCCAGACCCCCCTCCTAGGCCTCCAACGGCTATAGAGCCGTTTGGGAATAGTCTCAACGGCTAGAAGGCAGCAATTTAAAAAAAAAAATAGTAGCCGTTATGGCCCGGACCGGGCCCAGGCCGGCCGGGCCGGTTCATCATTTATAGGGCCCGAGCCCGTACCGCTATATGACCGGGTCGGGTAGGGCCGAACCGATACCCAGACCGGCTCCCGGGTTGGGCCAGGTACAAACAGTACCAGTCCGGGCCGGTTCTGGGTCGGTTGGGCCAGCCCGAGTCCACCACTAGTCCTCATCCGGGAACTTTATCATTATCACACACAAAAAAAGACAAGTTTTACATCAGAAGTATATATTGAGAGCATATGCAAACCACTGAAACCAGAAAATGTGTTTCTAAAGTTGCTCATCCTATGGGGTGTTTGGCAATTGGCTGTCGGCTGTTGGCTGTTAGCTGATTGTGTTGGCTGATTCATAATAGCGGATTCGGTTAGCTGTTTTGGTTGGCTGATAATATTAGTGGTTCGTAAAATAGTGTTTGGTTAAATGACCGTTTACAATCAGCTGATAACCTGGTAAATGACTATCAAGGACATCAAATAATTTTTAACTTCAATAATAATAATAATAATAATAATGTTGTTGTCGTTATTGTTATTATTTTTATTATTATTGATGTTACTATTTTGAGATAAATAGGTACATACGGAGTAGTATATTTTAATAAATAATGCACAAAACCTGAACCTTCTTCATATGACTAACAAAAGATTGAAAGGAATATTTAATTTTATTAAATGCATGCTTAGCTTGCTTCTTGCAATGTTCTTTTTCTCTTCTGTAGTGGGAGTGATTTTTTGCGTTGATGCGTAAGGAGACTGGGAGGAGCTGAGGTAAATACGGAAAGTAAGTTGCGTGGGTAGTAAGGGGAAAATAACAAACAGCCGGACCTAAACGCCACTTTTATCAGCATTTTCAATTTTGGCTGTTTGGGACAAAAAGCCAAATGGAAAAGCCAATAAACCAAACACCTCTATTAGCTGTTTATTTGGTCAAAAGGCCAAAAAGTGGTCAAATCAGCCAAAAAATGGCTGATAGGCCATTAACCAAACACCCCCTATGTAGGGATGGACTCGGGCCGGGCGGCCCGGGCCGGATTCAGCCCGGCCCGGTTACTGTTTGAACCGGCCCGGCCCAGTTACTGTGCAGTTCAGGCCCGGGCCCTTTGATTGGCGAACCGGCCCGGCCGGTTCGGGCCAAATTATTATTATTTTTTTTTGAATTTTTTTTAAGTTTTTGGGTTGGACTTGGTATTTTGGTCCATTTGAGGTGGTTTGGGGTGGTTTGGGGGTGAGGGGGGAGGGTTGGGGGTTAATTAGGTAAATCCAAAAAAAAAAAATAGAACCGAGGCCCGGCCCGGACCCGGGATTACCCGGGCCGGTTCCGGGCCTCCCATTTCTGAACCGAGGCCCGGCCGGGCCCAGGCCCGAACCGGGCCCGAACCGGAGCCGGTCCACCCATACCCCTATGAGTTTGAATTGAATTGTTAGACTAATCGATAATGTTATTAGAATACACTCCATTGCTTCAAAAGAACAAACTCATGCTTGTGTAAAACTAATATTAGGACAGATTCACAGGCATAGCAAATACGAAGTATTAACATTGAATTAAGAAGAGCGCACACAAAACGACAGATAATAAAGAGTAGCACACTGGCTTTCTATCCCCTACACTTGGTTTGCTTCAAGCCTAAATACAAAAATTGACTTAATTTATTTCCTTCTATTGGTAGTGTACACACATCAAAGAACATCTTTTGAAACAATACAAGTACAACTGTAACCCACTTCTGCACTTCAGAAACAAATCCATACTACACACCACAACCCTAAAATAAATATCTACAGACTACAAACTATAAACGGAAGAGCAGAAATCGGAACTTCAAGCTGAATAGCATAAATTTAAACATATCTCATTCTCTGGTTCACAACTCAAAACGCCTTTAAATTAAGTTTGTTAGAGAGGATAAAAGAAGAAACATTTGTGAAACCCAATGTGCTGTAATGAGAGATCATCTTTTCTGATGTTCATTTCCATATTTTCCAACTGCATTTATCTACTTCAGCATGAATATTCACCTTATCATCAACCTTTCATTTCCCATATACTATTCTGCATGCAAAAGACAATAGAATTGTTAAATATAATTTACAAAAAACAGCCCATGTTTACTCAAATATTACTTTTGAACCCCTTGTTTGTTAATTGCTTTGTACCCTATAGTGCCCTCGTGTTCCAAGTAAATATGTATCTACATGATTGCTTGTACTAACTTTATTAAACTATAATGGAGTAAGAAAAGAACAAATAAAATTCAATCTAAAGGAATGAACATGCACAAATTGTATACCTTGGAAATGCTTCATAATAGTAAACTAAGAAGATCCCTTCAAATTCTCAAATAAAAGTCTGAGGGAAAAAAGGAAAACATTGGGTGTTGCACGCCGCACTTGTTAGCCTGCTACCTTTATTGCACCCATTTCATCAATCTTTGAGCTCTTGTGCTGCAGTGTGTCAGTTAATAGTCGGACAACATTATTAGCTTCAAATAAAATAAGAGACTGGATAAATAAATGAACATGATGCAAACCTAGGACACTCATAGGAAGTTGGAAAATCAAAGAATTAACTTTTGAACATGTTACCTTGCTCTTCTTGTGCCTGTGATCATTGATATCTTCCTCTCCGTCATGCTTCCTTTTCTAGAGTTGACAAAAAAATTATAAATCCATTAGTAAATCAAAATTCTTGTCAGTCAACATAGTATCCTACCAATGTCAACTGCCAAAAAGTCTAGAGAATGTTCTATATCAAGCAGCATTAAGAAATCACTAGTTCATTATGATTCAAGAGTGAGACATCTTTAACGGTCAATTGGATGGAGGTTAATTTGGGTGCTGGATCCACAATTTCATTGATCGCATCAACAAATTGGAGGGTGGGGTCGTGAATTGGGGTGGGATAACCCCCACACCCATATTTACTTTGAAACAAAGAATGTGAGGGATAAATTGTACAAGGAAGAAAAAGAATGCAGCATGTAGAGAAAAAACTACCCCTAAGCATTTTTCCAAATGCCAAAATCGCCCTTAAAATCTTAACCGCTTGCAAACCAAAGGACTACATGTTATTTTATCCAACCCACCCACACCCACACCCACACCCACACCGGTTCAAACTAAATAGCATCCACCCATCACAAAATTAATTTGCTCATCCCGGTATGCATTTGTGCTAACATGACCATCACAAGTTGGAAACATAGACTTAACTTTACTCTATTACCAGATGACTTGACTTCTCCAGAATTAAATCATATGATTAGTTTACCACAATCATCTACAGCATTCTAAACTGAACTGACAAAAAATGTTTTATCAGACCTTCTCACGGTGCTTCTTTGAATGTTCAGCACCAGAATCAAGATGACCATTTTTATCTTTCTTTTTCTCTTTATCCTTATCTTTACTTCGGTCCTTGTGACGATGTTTGTGCTTCTTATGTTCTTTATCCTTTTCCTTGTCTTTGTCCTTGTGCCTTCTATGCTTCTTCTCCTTGTCTTTTGACTCACTCTTAGATTTCCCCACTGTAGTAGGGATGCCCTTTTCAGACTAAAAATAAAAACAGGTCATAATGAGTCAATCTTCAAGGGCAGGGCACACACAAACAATATGATGTAAAAAAAGGTTAACAAAACCACATCTCGTGTGCACAAACGTCGTTATCCGAGTAAAAACAAAAAAGTGAACATATTTTCCCAAAAACATCACAAACATGCATCAGCAAGTTTCTTACAGTGGGCAGATCAATTGGAGATGTTTCCCTCAACTGAAAAGCTTCCCCCAAAACATCTAAATCAAATGGCTTTATGGATGTGTTCATCTCTCTTGAAACAGAATTCTCCTCAATTAGCTGATTCAATTGCATCCCTTCGCCTTTCCTAATTTCTGTGTCTCCAACCACATTATGCAGATAGTGTGTATCTGAAATTGATAATGGAAGTGGCCTCTTGCAGAAATACTCATGATGAGGTAGCAATCTGAAGCGGCTAATAAGATCAACAGCACCTGTAAGTTCTCTGGGGCCTGATATTTTAATGGAACCAAGCTCACTTCAGGTATCAAACTTATGTCTCTAAAATGCAGATCATGACATGGTAACAGAAGACAGAATAGCCTGATTACAAAGAATATCCCAGTGAAGCTCCAATTAAAAAGAAGAAGTGGATTTACTTCAAAATTCAGTTACACACGAGGCCCACAACATTAATTCATTTCAGAATGACAGCAAAACTATAAAAACAGAAAAGCGAAAAATCCTTGTGGTCCGAAAACACTCATTTCATGTTCTCATGACATGGTAAAAGCTATTAAAAGACATACTCCCTCGTAGTCTGTACCACTATTTCTGTCCCACTCATCCTCTTTCATATGTCTCACTAAGTTTGTCTCATACCATATTTGTATAATATTTGTGTGGTATAAATTCATTCTTAACTTATCCACACTAACCAATTCCATAACAACCACATAACTCTATTTTTCTTAATAAACGTACCACCACCTCTTGTCTCAACCTTTGTATAAACAACTTACCTCTTCCAAACTTTTTGTTTTCTGAATCCATCAACTTGCTTCAAGTAATGATTTGCTAGTCACAAACTTTAGTAGTTGATTCTATTTCACCAATGATATTGCTCTCAGGTTGAAGTGGAAGCCTGAATGAACACACCACCACGGCACCACCTGACATTTAAGTATATAAAACAAATGTTTAAATTAACAAGCGGTACAGTTCAAGACAAAGTAACTTAATAGCTATAAGAGATTCCATTATCCTTTAGGGGCACACAAAATAAACTTCTGAGGATTTATCAGGCGGTTGTGAGCAGAAACTCCACAAGTACAATAAGTACTAGTAGCATGTTATGCTACAAAAAGGTTGTAAAGCATGTATGCATAATTTGCAAATATAACAGGCTCTAAAATGCAATTTCCGAGCTTGAATAGGTCAACCAACCAAACGATCTAGAGTACTTCAATTAAATAAACTCTAATCCCGTCAAAAAAGTTCTAGAAGAAGCCATGTCCACTACCAAATCACAGATATTTCCGATCATCCAACCTTCCTCACAAATTTAGAGGCCCGCCAATGCTTAATCTCAAAACTCGAGAGTACTTCCAAGCAGAAGATAGAAATACGTCGATGTTTAAATTACTAATGAGTAACGAGCATACTGGATTGCAGTTAGAGATCCAAAGGAGAAACGCCGAATCCCTCTCGCTCTGTGTCCCTTCGCCCCAATCGAAACAGCAAGAAAACGAATTGAGGAGCTTCTGGGTTCGTCTGCGATTGCGAAATTCTATTGCGCTGGGGATAAACCCTAATCCTCGCGTTCCGGAGAGAGTTCAAAGCCTTTTCGCTCCGACCAGAGAGAAACGACGAAGAAAAGGGTCCGCAACAAAACAACCTCCCGTTTATTCCTTTAATTTTTCAGATGATGTATAATTGGTATCATGGGGTCTTGAGTCTCTCATTTATTCACTCATTGGTTGACTTTTTTTTTTTGCTTCGAATTGCCCCTTCCGTTTAATGGTGTTTTCAGCCATTAATGGTCTTGAGCCATTAAGGGAGCGTTTGCAATTGCTTCAACTTTAAAAAAGTGATTTTTTAAAGTGATTTAGGGAAAAGTGATTAATAGTAAAAGTTGGTAATGTTTGAGGAAAAAGTGATTCTGAAAAAGTAAAAGTTGGTAGTGTTTAGTAAAATAAGTACTTTTTGTGTAATAGAAAAAGTGAAAAGCAGTTTAAAGCACCCTTCCACCTGCTTCCAGCTTTTAGCTTTTAAGTGATTAATTTAAGCAGAAAATGTCATTTGAAAACACTCTTTTAAACTTTTTTAAGCCAAAAGCTGAAAAGTGCTTTTTTTAATCAACTGCAAACACTCCTTAAGCAATTTTAACATGGGACAATTCCTAATGTTGGACGAAATGTACTACTATTTCATTCCATTTTATAATGTTTTTACTTGGATGATAATTTCTCATACTAGATCAGAACAGAACAGATCAAAACAAAACAAATCATACCAGATTTGGATAGTTATAAAAATACAAGGAAATCAGACGTCCAGACCAGTTCAAATCAGATCAGACCAGCAAATTACAGTCCAAGTAAATAAATCCTTATATCATGGAGGAAAGTTTACTAACAAGTAACACCACCAAGGATAGCTCAAGGTTACAAAGTGAAACCGTTGGATTGCGATTTCAGGTTCGAATTTAGAACGTAATCGTGTCGGTGATTCATAAATTATTCCTACAGTCATTTTATTGGACAGAATGTGGGACGCATGGGTGGGCGAATCCACATTTTTGAGTCTACTAACATTGAATAAGGATAGCAAGACATGTTTTGTTACATTTCTTTCATTTACATTTCTCTAATGTTGAAAAGTTATCTATTTTTTCAACATTTCATGAATGCCTAAATTGTCGGATGATGCTATGCGGGGTCGATGCTTATCAGTCAACTTTTATACTGATCAAATACATTTTGATTTTGTGTGCTCTATTGTACTCCGTTTAATAATCATAATAAATAATGTTACTTATGTCAATTTTCCGAGGAAATAGTAAAAAAGTGAATATATAAAAAGTTTAGAATTTGTTTGCGAGCTCCAATGAAGTGGAAGAGAGCAATGCTGATACACAGCCACGCTATGAATTGAAGTATTTTGTCACACTCATGTTAGCACAACTCTTTCTTTGCCTATCAAATTTGAAGAAACTTTAATTGTGGTCGACAACTTGACATCTCATTTGCAATCATTTTCCTTCTTTGGATAACATTCAGACACTCCAGCATATTCTATGTATTTGAGCACATGCATATGAATCCAGGTCAATTTGATAGCATCTACACTAAAACAGGAAGACAAATAAACATGTGCTTCTACAAGCTAAGTCTAGAACAGGCATTAATTTTCATGCATAGTTTTCAGCAATCAATGTTCAAAAGAACTCAAACAAGTTTGATGACAGCGTATATAAACATCCTCAAAAATCAAAATCAAGAACATTGCAAGTAGTCATGTAGATTGGAACTAACTAGTTTAAGTTATGGTGTAAAGGCGCTGTTTTAACAATTAAAAAGCTAAAAAAAAACAAAAGTAAGAAAAAAAAAACTAAAAAGCTACGTCGTTCAAAGTTTGTGTTGGAACTAAAAAGCTATTTTTTCTCTTCAAAAAATCTATGTCAATCCTTTCATTTTTCATAGTGCCATCTGATCAGCCATAACGGTTTATCCATCTGGTTAGGCTGACGGTGAATCCATCTGGTCTACCGGAAGCATTGGCTGAGCAGGGCCGTCTTTTAGGAGGTGCAATAGGTGTTTAGCATCGGAGCCCACTCTTGTAGGGGGCTTCCATAAATTTAGTATGAAATATTAGTGATATGTTGATTTTTCAATATTAGTATAAATTTAGTATGAAATATTGTTCAATATTTAAAGTATTAAGTACGTAGTATATGTTATTAATACAGACCACCAAGTATATGTTATTAGTATAAATTTAGTATGAAATATTGTTCAATATTTCTAAACATATTACGAGTATAACTTTTAAATTGTTTAATTTGTGTACTTTAAAAATCAATAAACGTACTTTGTATGTATCATTGAACTATCCAATCTATTTTTATTTCATTGTTAAATTTTGTACTTTTTCTTGTTTTAGGGGGCCTCAATTCATCATTTGGAACCGGGACCTCCAAATTCATTAGATGGCCCTGACTGTGAGAGATCAAATTATAATTATGTTGGAAAATGTGTTAGTAAATTGCATTAAATGGTCATTTTGGGGAAATTTTTTGAGTGGGGTCCACTTCCGATTTGGGTCAGGTCAAAGTGGTTTCGGATTGTCCTTGCTTAGGGCTACAATTCGATATATGATACGCTCAAAACGGATAACGGGTGAATGAGAAATTGATTCTTGAAGTTCACTCGTTGGAATGGAAAAAACTAGGAAAATGATGGGTTTCTAGTGTGGTTTTCCCACACCGGAAAACCCAAGGGAATTTGAACCCTTTATAAAGGGAAGCCCTCCTTAAGTAGTTAAGATTCCTTAGGGTAAAGGCGCTCTCCACGCGCGCAGGGGGGGTGCGAATCAAATCCCGAAACCGGAGAACAAAAAGCCCGACTTGTGTGCGCGGGCGACCTGCGGAAACGAATGTCGTCCGAAAAATCTATCTTCTACAGATAAATGTTAATTTTTGTTCTTCCGGTTGGTTCCTATTTTTCACTCCAGGTTGGAGTGGAGCAGGCCACTACTCCGTGCGAGCAGTTCGCTCCGCAGCAAGCCGCTGCTCCATGCATGTTGAAAGTCCACAGCAGGCGGCTGTTGGGACGTTACAACGCCATAAATGCCCGACGTACCTTTGCAATAAATGGACGGTTTTTGGACGAGAATCAATGCCAACGTGCTGGACATTGATTACCAACGTTCATGTCCATTAAACCTCCATTAACATACAACAAATCTTCCCTGTAAGTAGCTGGCAGGTGATTTGCAACAAACACAACTTCATACACACTTCCTTCACGTATATCTGAGCTAAAAAAACACCTTTAGCATTCCAGAAAATTTCCTTTGTGTTCAGCCTTTGTTCACGTTCGTTGGAACTTTAGTTTGAGTGCTAAACTATTGTTCGAAGTCATCGTATCCTGGGAAACGATCGTTGCAACGCTCCTAGCACCCCGGGAGGCAACGAATACGTTTTAAGGAAATCGTGCGTAGAACGAGCTTTGGCTTATTCTGCTTCATCTCATTTCTTGTTTTTCTTTAAGTCATTTTATTTAATTAATTTTTATTAATTAATTTTCTTTGTTTTTCGAAACACACCCAACAATCTTCAAACGTATTCGTTGATTGTTCTACTACGGTAAACAATATTAAACCGCCATCACCGCTTGAACCGCCATCACCGCCTGAACCGCCATCACCACCTGAATCGCCATCACCGCTGCCTGAACCGCAGCGGCTGTCACCTGAAATACCGGCTGCATCTAGGAGGCGTGTGACTCTGTAGTTAATATGCTCCAGCATTTGAATCATCTTCTCCATCTGCTTTTGATTATCAGCGATCTTGGCCGGAACCAGTTTTTCAATAAGCCCCTTCAGGGTGTCATCCAGGCCGAATCTGTACACTGAGTATATAATCCATGACATAGATACTCCGGTGCTGGTATGGCCGGTCAAAACACCAATTTTACTCGAGAAATCCCAAAGGGCAGAATTCTGCCTCTCTCTTTTCAGGAGAGAGGCGACAATAACCTTTGTAGATGGGTGGAGGTGGATCTCAACAATGCTTTTGGGAACAGAATCATTATAAATGATTTTGAATTCTTTGACATGGTGCTGCAGGGAGTTTAACAACCTGAAGCCAGAGGCTGCACTATATCTAGATGACATCTGTATGTTCAAAAAAAAAGAAAAAAAAAACTCATGACACCCATCAACGACCAATGAAGAGTATGGCTGTAACATATATACCAAGTACAACACAAAAGCAAGATTTAAACCGATAAATAAGAACGGAAAGCATAATGAGAACGGAATAAGAGCACAATAAGCACGATGAAAGAGTATCTAGATGACATCTGTATGTTCAAAAGAAAAAAGAAAAAAACTCATGACACTCATCAACGGCCAGTGAAGAGTATGGCTGTAACATATATACTAAGTAAAACACAAAAGCAAGATTAAAACCGATATATAACAACGGAAAGCACAATGAGAACGGAATAAGAGCACAATGAGCACAATGAAAAGGCAAGAAAATGGACCGTCGACTGGGGCAAGAAAGTTATGCTGGGGGCAAGAAAGTTCTGGAAGTGGGGCTCTAAGGGAGAAGAGGGATTCGATAAGGGTTTTAAAGGGTTGGACCGCAATTTTATTGGGAGAAGCGGGGCATTTTAGGTCTGGGCCGTAGATTTATGTAATTGTTCCTAGAGAGAAGCAATCATGTCTCCTGTTACACGGTACCAAAAGGGGTCTAACATCTACCACATTATTGGGATGTGGTCCTTTATTTAATTGGGATGTTTTAGGGTTGCGGTCCATTATTGGGATGCTTTTACGGAGTACGAGTATCATTCAGGACAGTTATAGAATAACATTTGTATCTCACATCTATCACATTAGATCCCTACAAAATTTCAGTTTAATTAATTTAATTTACTAGAAATTGAATTTTAATCCTATCGCATCTATGATTCTTGGATGAAAAATTGTAAATTCATTTTTTCTTTTGAAATGCATTGTCGGAAATGTCTCATTCCTTTTCTGTAAACTAAAAATAATTATATATTCTATTTCCGAATGAGATTAAAATACATATACAAATTTTTAAATCATGAAAAGCCTAGGATAATTACCCATGTCGGGATTCTTAACAATCTCATTTTTACTCATATATATCAACGTAGTATCACGAGTTACTAAGGATGTTTTTTTGGACTTAAACTCTCTATTTTGGCCCGATCTTATCTTGTCTGTTTAAGTCTAATTTGGTCTGGTCTACTTTGGTAGATGTTTGATCACTGTGTATCTTACAATTGCAGAAGTCTAGTCTGGTTTCTTAAGTCTCCTCCGGTCTAGTCTCCTCAAGTCTACTAGTATCTCACCCGTGCGATGCATGGCCGGAAAATTTTAACTTGATTTTTGAAAACATAAAAAATCCAATGAACACAGATGATATATTAATAATTTATAATTACTGATTATTGAAATTTCACAAAATCAATGAATAAGATGATGTCAGACTTCAGAATTTGTATTAGAGCCAGTTTGATAACCCGTGTTTTTTTGCTCATGGGTTAACGTAATTTTAAATTTTAAGCGGTGAATTGGGAGAAATTATTGTAGAGAATCATTTTAGATATTATTTATATCATCTTTTTCCTTATTTAATTAATTTAATATATTGTATCTTATTTTTAATTATTCAACAGATTCAGCCGATTTAGTCATTTCATCCGAAATTTCATTAATTTCAATAGATTTAGTCAATTCAACAAATTTCAGCTCACCAAACATCCTCTTAATTAACTACTATATTATGTTTGGGACCCCGTATTCATAACTGGTTTAAGTTTTCTACATATTATCATAGGAAGTGCTAAAGGAAATTAACAAACGGTAGCACTTTTACTTTAGAGCCCATTTGGTAGCTTGAAAATCGGCTGATTTGGCTGATTCTGCTGAAATTTATGAAGTTCTGGCTGAAGTGGCTGCATTGGCTGGTTCTGTTGATTTAAGAAAAAATTTGTAACACCCACCCGCCCGGTCTGGTAAATTCGGGATGGATGTCGGTGTTGTTTATCATTTATTTATTAGAAAACATTTAATAAAATGTAATTGTAACCTAGAATGCCACCAGAAAATTCAATTCTCAACTTTAGATGACTGTGCATTGTAATACGGGTATATATTTTGTTTAGCCAGATGTACACCTATAGGATTGCTTGTGCCATGTGTCCAATTGGGTAATATTACATTACATTTTAAGTTTTGTATTTGTTTGGTTTCGTAGATGCAAGAGGATAAGCTGCCAGAGCGCCAGGTGCTTTTCTTTGTTTTAGTCGAAGGCTACAATTTTACTTGTGCTTTTTTTAATCTTTATACACATTTACCTCTTAGATCAATATCATAAATCTTAAAGTTAATTTTACCACAAGTGTTTATTTAAATATATAAAGAGACATACGAACCATAAAACTGAACGGAGTACTAATTAACAAAACCCATATCTAATTTAAGAGTTTTACAATTTCTCTCATATGAATTATTTTCTTTCGGACTTAAAAATTTACCTTGAGTCCAATTCATTTTTATTTATTAAGATATTACCTCTGATACTATCATTTTGATATAGTTTGAAGTACATTGTGGTAAGGTACTCTCAAATCCACTGGTCTTATAGGTTATCATCATTTTCATTTACCCCAGTGCCGCAAAGGTTCCCAACTACGGTGGGGTAAGGGGAATCGGATGTACGCGGTCTTACCCATGTACTAAAGTGTTGGAAAATGTGTTAGTAAATTGCATTAAATGGTCATTTTGGGGCAATTTTTTGAGTGGGGCCCACTTCCGATTTGGGTCGGGTCAAAGTGGTTTCGGATTGTCCTTGCTTAGGGCTACAATTCGATATATGGTACGCTCAAAACGGATAAAGGGTGAATGAGAAATTGATTCTTGAAATTCACTCGTTGGAATGGAGAAAACTAGGAAAATGATGGGTTTCTAGTGTGGTTTTCCCACACCGGAAAACCCAAGAGATTTTGAACCCTTTATAAAGGGAAACCCCCCTTAAGGAGTTAAGATTCCTTAGGGTAAAGGCTCTCTCCACGCGCGCAGGGGAGTGCGAATCAAATCCCGAAACCGGAGAACAAAAGGCCCGACTTATGTGCGCAGGCGACCTGCGGATACGAATGTCGTCCAAAAAATCTATCTTCTACAGATAAACGTTAATTTTTGTCCTCCGGTTGGTTCCTATTTTTCACTCCAGGTTGGAGTGGAGCAGGCCACTACTCCGTGCGAGCAGTTGGCTCCGCAGCAGGCCGCTGCTCCGTGTGAGCAGTTGGCTCCGCAGCAGGCCGCTGCTCCATGCATGTTGAAAGTCCACAGCAGGCGGCTGCTGGGACGTTACAACGCCATAAATGCCCAACGTACCTTTGCAATAAATGGACGGTTTTTGGATGAGAACCAATGCCAACGCGCTGGACATTGATTACCAACGTTCATGTCCATTAAACCTCCATTAACACACAACAAATCTTCCCTATAAGTAGCTGGCAGGTGATTTGCAACAAACACAAATTCATACACACTTTCTTCACGTATTTCTGAGCTAAAAAACACCTCTAGCATTCCAGAAAATTTCCTTTGTGTTCAGCCTTTGTTCACGTTCGTTGGAACTTTAGTTTGAGTGCTAAAATATTGTTCGAAGTCATCGTATCCTGGGAAACGATCATTGCAACGCTCCTAGCACCCCGGGAAGCAACGAATACGTTTTAAGGAAATCGTGCGTAGCACGAGCTTTGGCCTATTCTGCTCTATCTCATTTCTTGTTTTTCTTTAAGTCATTTTATTTAATTAATTTTTATTAATTAATTTTCTTTGTTTTTCGAAACACACCCAACAATCTTCAAACGTATTCGTTGATTGTTCTACTACGGTAAACAATCTTAAACCGCCATCACCTCTTGAACCGCCATCACCGCCTGAACCGCCTGAACCGCCATCATCGCTGCCTGAACCGCAGCGGCTGTCACCTGAAATATTGGCTGCATCTAGGAGGCGTGTGACGCTGTAGTTAATCTGCTCAAGCATTTGAATCATCTTCTCCATCTGCTTTTGATTATCAGCGATCTTGGCCGGAACCAGTTTTTCAATAAGCCCCTTCAGGGTGTCATCCAGGCCGAATCTGTACACTGAGTATATAATCCCTGACATAGATACACCGGTGCTGGTATGGCCGGTCAAAACACCAATTTTACTCAAGAAATCCCAAAGGGCAGAATTCTGCCACTCTCTTTTCAGGAGAGAGGCGACAATAACCTTTGTAGATGGGTGGAGGTGGATCTCAGCAATGCTTTTGGGAACAGAATCATTATAAACGATTTTGAATTCTTTGACATGGTGCTGCAGGGAGTTCAACAACCTGAAGCCAGAGGCTGCACTATATCTAGATGACATCTGTATGTTCAAAAAAAAGAAAAAAACTCATGACACTCATCAACGGCCAGTGAAGAGTATGGCTGTAACATATATACCAAGTACAACACAAAAGCAAGATTTAAACCGATAAATAAGAACGGAAAGCACAATGAGAACGGAATAAGAGCACAATAAGCACGATGAAAGAGTATCTAGATGACATCTGTATGTTCAAAAAAAACTCATGACACTCATCAACGGCCAGTGAAGAGTATGGCTGTAACATATATACTAAGTAAAACACAAAAGCAAGATTAAAACCGATATATAAGAACAGAAAGCACAATGAGAACGGAATAAGAGCACAATAAGCACGATGAAAGAGTATCTAAATGACATCTGTATGTTCAAAAAAAGAAAAAAAAACTCATGACACTCATCAACGGCGAGTGAGACATATGGGTGTAACATATATACTAAGCTAAGTACAACACAAAAGCAAGATTTAAACCAATAAATAAGAACGGAAAGCACAATGAGAACGGAATAAGAGCACAATAAGCACAATGAAAAGCCAAGAAAACGGACCGTCGACTGGGGCAAGAAAGTTCTGCTGGGGGCAAGAAAGTTCTGGAAGTGGGGCTCTAGGGGAGAAGAGGGATTCAATAAGGGTTTTAAAGGGTTGGACCGCAGTTTTATTGGGAGAAGCGGGGCATTTTAGGTCTGGGCCGCAGATTTATGTAATTGTTCCTAGAGAGAAGCAATTCATATGAATTATTTTCTTTCGGACTTTAAAATTTACCTCGAGTCCAATTCATTTTTATTTATTAAGATGTTAGCTCTGATACTATCATTTTGATATAGTTTGAAGTACATTGTGGTAAGGTACTCTCAAATCCACTGGTCTTATAGGTTATCATCATTTTCATTTACCCCAGTGGCGCAAAGGTTCCCAACTACGGTGGCGTAAGGGGAATCGGATGTACGCAGTCTTACCCCTATACTAAAGTGTTGGAAAATGTGTTAGTAAATTGCATTAAATGGTCATTTTGGGGCAATTTTTGAGTGGGGCCCACTTCCGATTTGGGTCGGGTCAAAGTGGTTTCGGATTGTCCTTGCTTAGGGCTACAATTCGATATATGGTACGCTCAAAACGGATAAAGGGTGAATGAGAAATTGATTCTTGAAGTTCACTCATTGGAATGGAGAAAACTAGGAAAATGATGGGTTTCTAGTGTGGTTTTCCCACACCGGAAAACCCAAGGCAATTTGAACCCTTTATAAAGGGAAACCCCCCTTAAGGAGTTAAGATTCCCTAGGGTAAAGACTCTCCCCACGCGCGCAGGGGGGGTGCGAATCAAATCCCGAAACCAGAGAACAAAACGTCCGACTTGTGTGCGCGGGCGACCTGCGGACACGAATGTCGTCCAAAAAATCTATCTTCTACAGATAAACGTTAATTTTTGTTCCTCCGGTTGGTTCCTATTTTTCACTCCAGGTTGGAGTGGAGCAGGCCACTACTCCGTGCGAGCAGTTGGCTCCGCAGCAGGCCGCTGCTCCGTGTGAGCAGTTGGCTCCGCAGTAGGCCGCTGCTCCATGCATGTTGAAAGTCCACAGCAGGCGGCTGCTGGGACGTTACAACGCCATAAATGCCCAACGTATCTTTGCGATAAATGGACGGTTTTTGGACGAGAATCAATGCCAACGTGCTGGACATTGATTATTAACGTTCATGTTCATTAAACCTCCATTAACACACAACAAATCTTCCCTATAAGTAGCTGGCAGGTGATTTGCAACAAACACAAGTTCATACACACTTCCTTCACGTATTTCTGAGCTAAAAAACACCTCTTGTCACGCCCCAGACCGCGTTTGTGCCACGTGGACAACCGTCGTACAACCCAATAAGAATAACCGCAGTTCATCCTTACCGAATTATACAAGACGTCTGAAAGATACATATGCCAAAACCGATTAGTAAACATACTTTACAACATCAACATGCAACAAACACATAGCAGAATATAATTGTTTAGTAAGAACCCACATAAAGGTAAAACAAGAGCTCGCAGGCTCCATTAATTTATAAGTGAAAATAGTTCCATGAGCATTATTTAATTATTTAAAAATAGAACGAGAGGAAGCACGAACCACGTCTTCTCTCCATCGATCTCCCGAGCAACGGGTGCAGGAAGTATGCTCTAGCTTCAACCTGAAAGGGTGGTTCCCCCGAGGGATCAGTACAACAGAAAAGTACTGGTGAGGGCAAACTGTATGTAATGTAACTAATGTTTCTCACGTGAGACCCTCAAAATAGGGTGATAGTATAATTATGGGCATAACTCTTAGCTACCCCTTTTCAAAACAAAATGTATACATATACATATGAGTAAAATATCTGGCCCGTGGGCCCATTTGTCTTTCAAATCATTTAGGCGTAACAGCCTCATTAAATTCACTTTTCCTATATCTTACCCTCGAGTGGAATCACCCGCAGGCTGACTCACCCGATATCAAAATATAATTACTGTGGGGCCCTTCGGACTCCTATATCATGGACATGGTTTAAATCAATTCCTAGACCAAGGAAAATATTCTATCGGAAACTCGTTCCCGATCAAGCACGTTTAATCATTTAAAATCATTACTTCGAGGTTCACCCACCTCGAGGACTATCCGTCCTTGCTATCATAGTTTTCATTTCCGAGTTAACCCCGCCTCGAGGAGTACGCATACACCCTCATCCTATGTGTAATTTACTGGAGGTTAACACACCTCAAGGACTACACGGGCCCTTGTTACCTATATGCACTTTGATGGAGGTTAACACACCTCAAGGACTGCATTTTCCCTTGTTACCTATATGCAATTTGATGGAGGTTAAACACACCTCAAGGACTGCATTTGCCCTTGTTACCTATATGCACTTTGATGGAGGATACCACACCTCAAGGACTGCATTTGCCCTTGTTACCTATGTGTAATTTGCTGGAGGTTAACACACCTCAAGGACTACACGGGCCCTTGTTACCTATATGCAATTTGATGGAGGATACCACACCTCAAGGACTGCATTTGCCCTTGTTACCTATGTGTAATTTGCTGGAGGTTAACACACCTCAAGGACTACACGGGCCCTTGTTAATGTTTGAGTGTAGAGGACTCCTCCTGGTCCTACAGAGTATTATATAACCTTACTTGGTCCCAGGTATTCACCCGCCATGTATAATCTACCACGTACCTCGGCCGGTCGTGGTCTATAATTTATTCACTAATGACTAGTCCAAGTCTTAGCGTTTAAACCGTATTACAATCCTTAGCATTTTAAACATCATATTTCATGCAATTCCATGCAAAATATTCATATATAGGATGGTCGGGGTTAATTCCCCCTCAATTCGGGCCCCGATACGCGTTTTCGGCACAAACGGAAATCGGAGGCAGCAACTTACCCGACCCCGGGTATGCCCTATACCTGGCGCCGGGTATGTCCGGAATTGTGGGTCAGCGACCCGTTGACCTCAGAGTTGACCCCCGAAATGTGCTCCGTTTGGCCCAAAATTTTTACACCATATATATTATGTCTAAGACAATCAATAAATGCTATTTTGGCCATTCAACCACCTCTTATATTTTATATGAATATTTCCAATCATTTCCATGTATATTATTCTAGTTTATTTTTCCATAAACTAGTTCACCTTGATAACTTGCATGATCAAGCACTTTTTATTCCTCACAAGGATATCACCTTTAATTACCTTTAATCACCTCACAAAATGAGCCATTCATGGTTCACAAAATTATTATCTAAGTCATTGATACTAGTTAATCATTTTTGTATATTACTCTAGTTTATTTCTCATAAACTAGTTCTTCTTAGTAGCATGTATACTTAAGCATTTCTTAATTCTTCACAACAATAATACGTGAATTACTTTGGTCACTTCTCATATGAGCCAACAAAAACATTTATATTAGTTAATTATACCTTGTATAATTCCCTAGTTTATTTCTCATAAACTAGATTTTACTTTAGTGGCTTGCGTGATTTAATACTTAAATCCTCCACAAGAATACCATCTTGAATTTCCTTAGTCCTTTCCCAAGTAATCATTCATGATTAGTCTTCATCAATAATATTAGTAATTCTTTACCCATTAATCATGCCACTTTCACTTAATTTATAATCAATATGGTTAATCACACATTTAAACACTTTTAATCATTTTTATACATACTCGCATACTAGATTAATCTAGTTAGTCTCATACATAGTTCAAGTATGCATTTTTATACATTTGACAATAATATATCCATGATTAATCCACAAATTAATCTCTTATTCATTAACCATATAATACTTTCATATTTCATATTCATCATAACTAATCATGTATTTTAATCCATTTAATCATTTATCAAATCATGATTATGAATTTATTTAGGTAATCCCACGTTTGACTCAAAAGTTACAAGACACGTAGTCGTCCACTCACCTTGAAATGACGCTAGCAAGATCTTCTTTGTTCGAACTCCGGCGACTTTTGAATTTTCCGGCAAAAACTCCGGCGGCTCCGGCGACTTTTCCGGCCACTCCTAGATTCCTTGAGAAGTCTAGAATACTTTGGTAAAATTCCTAACAAGGTTTCACAACCAAAAGTGGACATCAAAACCTTCCGAGAAGGTGTTTTCCGGCAAACCGGTCTTACTCCGGTCATAACTCCGTTTATGGTTAAACTTAACCTTCCAAATCCTCACTCTACACCTCTAGAAGTGTAGAACAAGATTAAAGGTCCATCATATGATTTATAAGATCATATGATATTAAATTAAGGAAGAAAAATATTAATGAAGTCATTACCTTGATTTTTCTAAGTTTTTCTCTTCTTTTCCAAGCTTTTCTTCACCTTTGAACCTCCTCCAACCTTGAGCTCGGTTATGGATATGGGGATGATGAGTTGTAGAGCTCCCCTATCTATTTTTTATGGGTTGGGTCGGATGGAAAGAGTGAGGGAGGTGGATGAGAGTTTCATTGACTTAAATTGTCAATAATGGTGAGGTACATGACCTACCAAGTACTTTTGATTCCATATGTCTCCAATTACTTTCAAAGCACTCCCCCATCACACTCCAGCCCTCCCCTTAGCTGTTTGGTTGAATAAATTCGTGGGGTGGCCCCCACTCATGTGGGAGGTCATCCCTTTATGTCCCAAAGTGTGTATTTGGTCCCGAAAGTTGTATTTTCTGGACTATTTTAATTATATTTTATTTTATCGGGTTAAGTAAAATATATATCATTCTTCCAATTAATATTGGCCTCTAAAATGAATATATATTACCCAACTTCAATTTAGTGGTCGCCGAAATTCATTTCGGGCGTTATCTGTTTAATTACATATACCGGTAATGGGACCTCGTTTGATCGAAAGGCCAACTTTATGGCTCGACATTTATTTACACCCTCATATAAATATCATCTAGACCAAGATGAATATAATATGTGGGCCGTAAATATCGGATGGTCCCCGCCCATGTGTGGGCCCAACGTGCATTTTACTGTTCAAGTAACAGTAAAAATGAGAACATGTTTCCTCAAAAATTCATTCATCATTTCTCATGACTAAATATGTATTTTCATATTTTGTGACACTTTAATAAAATGTTACACTTATTTTTAAGTGGTCCCAACTGTATAAGCAGATAAAATCTTATATGTTTATTCTTATACGAAAATATCTTCAAGGTAGGATCCTCCAAAAGTACCCACCTCTAATATGTCAAATTACTCATTATTATCCATCATCCCATATTTTGGGTTCTTAAAATATTTATATTCTTTCTGTTATTAATTCGTAGCCATCCGAATTATTATCAGTCCGATAATTAATGATTCACAATTATCGGATAGTGACCCCGGTCCGCTTGGCCGTCTAGTTGTTGTTCTTTATATCACTGGGGTCCATGACCCATCCCTACTATCATAATAGTATCATTTTCGTAGACAATAATATTTTATAAACTTGAAATACCACGAGTGGTCCCACGTCTGAATTAATAACCCTTTATTAATTTAGGACAAAATTTTACTTTCTCATTTATCAAGACTACTCTTAGTCTTGATTTACCTTCTTTAACCAAGTACTTTATGAAAAAAAATTATCTGGGTAAAATTCGGGTTCGGTGTTACACCTCTAGCATTCCAGAAAATTTCCTTTGTGTTCATCCTTTGTTCACGTTCGTTGGAACTTTAGTTTGAGTGCTAAACTATTGTTCGAAGTCATCGTATCCTGGGAAACGATCGTTGCAACGCTCCTAGCACCCCGGGAAGCAACAAATACGTTTTAAGGAAATCGTGCGTAGCACGAGCTTTGGCCTATTCTGCTTCATCTCATTTCTTGTTTTTCTTTAAGTCATTTTATTTAATTATTTTTTATTAATTAATTTTCTTTGTTTTTCGAAACACACCCAACAATCTTAAAACGTATTCGTTGATTGTTCTACTACGGTAAACAATCTTAAACCGCCATCACCGCTTGAACCGCCAACACCACCTGAACCGCCATCACCGCCTGAACCGCCAGAACCGCCATCACCGCTGCCTGAACCGCAGCGGCTGTCACCTAAAATATCGGCTGCATCTAGGAGGCGTGTGACGTTGTAGTTAATCTGCTCCAGCATTTGAATCATCTTCTCCAACTGCTTTTGATTATCAGCGATCTTGGCCGGAACCAGTTTTTCAATAAGCCCCTTCAGGGTGTCATCCAGGCCGAATCTATACACTGAGTATATAATCCCTGACATAGATACTCCGGTGCTGGTATGGCCGGTCAAAACACCAATTTTACTCAAGAAATCCCAAAGGGCAGAATTCTGCCACTCTCTTTTCAGGAGAAAGGTGACAATAACCTTTGTAGATGGGTGGAGGTGGATCTCAGCAATGCTTTTGGGAACAGAATCATTATTAACGATTTTGAATTCTTTGACATGGTGCTGCAGGGAGTTCAACAACCTGAAGTCAGAGGCTGCACTATATCTAGATGACATCTGTATGTTCAAAAAAAAATGAAAAAAACTCATGACACTCATCAACGGCCAGTGAAGAGTATGGCTGTAACATATATACCAAGTACAACACAAAAGCAAGATTTAAACCGATAAATAAGAACGGAAAGCACAATGAGAACGGAATAAGAGCACAATAAGCATGATGAAAGAGTATCTAGATGACATCTGTATGTTCAAAAAAAAACTCATGACACTCATCAACGGCCAGTGAAGAGTATGGCTGTAACATATATACTAAGTAAAACACAAAAGCAAGATTAAAACCGATATATAAGAACGGAAAGCATAATGAGAACGGAATAAGAGCACAATAAACACGATGAAAGAGTATCTAAATGACATCTGTATGTTCAAAAAAAAGAAAAAAAACTCATGACACTCATCAACGGCGAGTGAAACATATGGGTGTAACATATATACTAAGCTAAGTACAACACAAAAGGAAGATTTAAACCGATAAATAAGAACGGAAAGCACAATGAGAACGGAATAAGAGCACAATAAGCACAATGAAAAGCTAAGAAAACGGACCGTCGACTGGGGCAAGAAAGTTCTGCTGGGGGCAAGAAAGTTCTGGAAGTGGGGCTCTAGGGGAGAAGAGGGATTCAATAAGGGTTTTAAAGGGTTGGACCGCAGTTTTATTGGGAGAAGCGGGGCATTTTAGGTCTGGGCCGCAGATTTATGTAATTGTTCCTAGAGAGAAGCAATTCATATGAATTATTTTCTTTCGGACTTTAAAATTTACCTTGAGTCCAATTCATTTTTATTTATTAAGATGTTAGCTCTGATACTATCATTTTGATATAGTTTGAAGTACATTGTGGTAAGGTACTCTCAAATCCACTGGTCTTATAGGTTATCATCATTTTCATTTACCCCAGTGCCGCAAAGGTTCCCAACTACGGTGGGGTAAGGGGAATCGGATGTACGCAGTCTTACCCCTATACTAAAGTATTGGAAAATGTGTTAGTAAATTGCATTAAATGATCATTTTGGGGCAATTTTTTGAGTGGGGTCCACTTCCGGTTTGGGTCGGGTCAAAGTGGTTTCGGATTGCCCTTGCTTAGGGCTACAATTCGATATATGGTACGCTCAAAACGGATATCGAGTGAATGAGAAATTGATTCTTGAAGTTCACTCATTGGAATGGAGAAAACTATGAAAATGATGGGTTTCTAGTGTGGTTTTCCCACACCGGAAAACCCAAGGCAATTGGAACCCTTTATAAAGGGAAACCCTCCTTAAGGAGTTAAGATTCCCTAGGGTAAAGGCTCTCGCCACGCGCGCAGGGGGGGTGCGAATCAAATCCTGAAACCAGAGAACAAAACGTCCGACTTGTGTGCGCGGGCGACCTGCGAACACGAATGTCGTCCGAAAAATCTATCTTCTACAGATAAACGTTAATTTCTGTTCCTCCGGTTGGTTCCTATTTTTTGCTCCAGGTTGGAGTGGAGCAGGCCACTGCTCCGTGCGAGCAGTTGGCTCCGCAGTGGGCCGCTGCTCCATGCATGTTGAAAGTCCACAGCAGGAGGCTGCTGGGACGTTACAACGCCATAAATTCCCAACGTACCTTTGTGATAAATGGACGGTTTTTGGACGAGAATCAATGCCAACATGCTGGACATTGATTATTAACGTTCATGTTCATTAAACCTCCATTAACACACAACAAATCTTCCCTATAAGTAGCTGGCAGGTGATTTGCAACAAACACAAGTTCATACACACTTCTTTCACGTATTTCTGAGCTAAAAACACCTCTAGCATTCCAGAAAATTGCCTTTGTGTTCAGCCTTTGTTCACGTTCGTTGGAACTTTAGTTTGAGTGCTAAACTATTGTTCGAAGTCATCGTATCCTGGGAAACGATCGTTGCAACGCTCCTAGCACCCCGGGATGCAACGAATACGTTTTAAGGAAATCGTGCGTAGCACGAGCTTTGGCTTATTGGAGCTTTTTATCGAGTTCAGGGTGCTAGTTGGAGCTTTTTTGGGTTCAGGAGGCAAATTGAGCAATCTGAAAAGGTACAAGGACCTATTTGACCCTTTAGCCTTTTTTTCTTCCAAACAATTAGAAAGTCTCTAGACTTGAAACATCAATTTCATCACTTATAAGAGGGCATTGCTTTCCCCCCTCCAGCTTTCCTATTTTCTACCGTATTTTAATCGCAGCTAAATTGAATTGCTGACACCCTTTTTTGGCATGATGAAGGTATGACTAAGTTTTTGTTGGAAAGATGATGCCTTTGTTGTTGTCCCTTCGTGAATTTGATTGTTTGCTTATATTATTACTTATTATTATTATTATTACTTACGATCTTTAATTTTGTTTGTGATTTGAGTTTTGACTTGCGGGCCTTCAAGAACCCAGAAATCTGATCCCTGGCTTTACTGAAATTCATACAAAATTGAATCATATTATGTGCTTCGCATGTGCTATAATCCTTGTTTGGGTGAATTTGGTGACCACAAAAGATAATCTCTTATAAATACATTGTTTCTAGGAAACTCACCCATGGGAATTGGGAAAACCAAGTTATGGGAAGCATTACATCAACCTCTAATTCCTGGAACTTTGATAATCCCAGGGAATTCATCACTCATATTTTTCTCAACCGGAATTTTGAATGGACAGGTTTCAGGCTCCAGAACCTTGTAGGTTTGTAGGGAATAGGAACTGAACAGGCACCCATTACAATTCCAGACCGAACCGGTACTCGGCACCAGTTGCAGTTCCTCCAAAATAGGGCTATACTCGATCACTTCCGATTTGTGTAAAGTTATAAAGAAGCAAACCAGTTACAGATTTTAAAACGGGCCCAAAACCTCAACTGGACCAAAACTGATCTGGAACCCGAACCCGAACTGTTTTACCAAGTTAAGTATCCAGTTCCACCCTTACGTGGAATTGGCTGGTCCAGAATCAAAATGGTGCCTGGCCTGGGTCCACCCCATTGGGAATTAGCTCCCTGTCAAGTGTCAAGTGTCAAGTATCCGTTTTACAAAAAAAAAAGATAGGTTTTATTTTTTGTTGAATTATGGATTTGGCTGTGTCTCTCACATAAATGCATAACTATTCCATGCTATGAAAGAGTAGATTCTGCATTAGTGTTTGTGAAGCAAAAGTAGAGAAAGCTCATAAGACCAGAAATCAGAAACATCAGTTTGTGAAGGAAAGTACTTTAATTTTTTGTTCTTCACTGGGTAATGTTAATACTTCATAAACTACTCAATTTGCCTGAATTTTATGCTTATGTTTTTGGTTTTCTTTTATTGATCCATCCAAAAATAGTCATCCTGTTTCCTCTAGTACGTTCGTGAACCTTTTAGGGTGTTCCAGAAAGTTCCTAACTTTTCTTGGGATGATCTGGCATGCTCCAGACACAAATGAGGGACTGAAAACAAATAAACTTCCTATTTATTGATCCGTGTTGATTTTTGACATGCACAATATTGTATATTTGTATATGTGTATTGTGAGTATGTTGGTACTCGAGATATGCTTGGTAAGAGCGAGTTTAATATGAATTCATCTCCTTATTGTTGATGCCTTTAGTTTGAAGGGCATGTGCATTGTTATGAATTGTGAAGTAATAATATATATACCATTTATTATGACAGTTGTGGCTCTTTTGGATACCTTATCAATTTGAAATCTTCAAACTGTGTAACTTCTGGAGTTGGCTCTGAGTACAGTGAAAAGATCAAGAAAAGTTTCACCTCCTTCACATCCCTCGACTTGAGCTGGTTCACTCAAATCGATGAAGTAAAGTGTATTCCTATTTCTTTGGGACATAATCATTCCAAAGCCAGACTTCATTTCCAAAATTGTGTACATGTGATAGGTGACGTGTATGGACATTCTCTTGCTCTTTGTGGATTTCAGTCACCTACCTCAACTAACTTTTCCTACAAGATAATCACCATAAAGATCTGATCTTTACGGCCTTTACATGATTAAAAATGGAAATGCTTCCTGATGATTGCTTAAGGCTTATATTTCGATGCCTGGATTGTGGCTTTGACCGTGAATCCTTTGGTTTAACCTGCCACCGTTGGCTACAAATTCAAAATTCATCCCGAAGATCCTTACAGTTTCACTGTTCTCTCAATCTGCTAAATTTCTCCTCTCCAGAAATATCTCAATCAAGTATAAATGCCTCCCTTTTGTTTAAGTTGCTAAATCGTTTTCAAAACCTCCAATCATTATGTATGTCCGGGTGTACCGATCTGCCTGACTCGGCTTTGACTCTGTTGAATCAATATGGCTCAAGGTTGAAAAGTCTGAACTTAGATTGCTGTTTTGAAATCACTTCTAATGGACTCTCCTTTGTCGCCTCAGGCTGTTCTTCTTCTTTGACTATTCTCAGTCTTTACCGTTGCAATATAACGGATATAGGGCTGGAAATGTTGTCTAAGTCTTGCGTTTCTTTGGAAGATATAAATCTTGTGTATTGTTACCGAATAACAGACAGAGGGGTGGAACCTATTTCGCAAAACTGTCGTCACCTTCGTGCTATCAGGATATCCAACTGTAAGAGCATTACTGGTATTGGATTTCAAGGGTGTCCCCGTACACTAGCATATGTGGAGGCAGATTCGTGTAGGCTTGAACCCGAAGGTGTTAGGGCCCTACTTTGTGGGGGAGGGGTCGAGTATCTGAGTGTGCTGAACTTGAGCTGGAACATTCACGGGGATGGTTTGACTGCAATAGGGACCGGATTCGCTTCAAGGCTGAGAGTACTCAACTTTCGTTTCTGCAGAACGATAGGTGATGCTACAATCACAATGATCGCTAAGGGTTGTCCATTACTTCAAGAATGGAATCTGTCCTTGTGTCACGAGGTCAGGGTTTTGGGATGGAGGGCCGTTGGGTCAAACTGTCATCGGCTGAAGACACTGCATGTAAACCGGTGCCGTAATTTGTGCGATGAGGGTTTGCGTGCCATTGGGAACGGCTGCAAGAGGTTGTCGATGTTGTACATCACCCGTTGTGCCCTGTTGAGTTCCAAAGCCATAGAGATCTTTAAGGTTTCAAGAGGTGGTGTGGAGATAAGTGAAGATGAGATTGCATGTATTGCACCAAAAGAAGCATTCAGGTTTTAGTTGGGGAAATAGATTACTCACTACATCAGTGTTAATGCAGTTAGCTTGTGTTTTACTTGTTGGAACATAATTGAACATTCTCATGGAACACATTATATTCTGTCATAAAATAATTATTGTTATTATTATAATATGATTATTGTTATTACTATTTTATTTTTATTATTAATGTTAGAATATGACTAGTCAACCACTTTGTAAGTGCGATTGGGTTTCAGTTCCATGCGAAAAAATGACCTCCTTTTCAGTTGAAAGGTTAGATGTAATATTAGAAGACCAAAAACACAATGAACACAGAAAAACAACAGCGTGACGCCTAAACTGCTGGATTGCTGGAAGCCTAAACAACAGCTTCACACACACACACAAAAGTGAATGTAAACTCTGTGATGTTAGTCTGGATAGAGTCTAAAGAAGATTTATGAACAAACACTTGTTTGTAAAATAATTCCGTGCATAGTGGCAGGCTTGATCCAGACTATATCCAGGCTTTATCTAAGCAAGGCAAGTGTTCCTTCCGCATATACTGCCCAACATAAGGAGTTTCACACAATCTCATCTAAATTCCTTCTTACAGCATTTGATAGACCTCAACACCTTAGTTGCCTCTTAAAGCTTTTGATAGAACCCAAAACCTTAGTTGTGTTTCTTTTAAAACCCAACCATAGGCAAATTTCCTTTAATCAGCCTGACAATATTCAAAAACGTACTACTGCATATTTTTCTTTGTGAACAACCCATCCCTTATCCCTGCCTCCTGCTGGCTCCAACAACAATTGCCACCATCAGCCATCAAAAACTGTAAACCGCTAGAAAAGTCATTGGAAAATTTCACCAGATTTTTTCAGTTTTTTTTTTAACTTCCCCTGGAAAAAAGACAACATATACAATGACATATTTCAGAATGCTAGTGACGCATGTAGTGGCGATAGTCACTGGTGACAACAACAATGACATTAGACAAACTATCAAGGACATATTAAAGTATTAAACTGACACTGAATGAAATTGACTGTCCGATTATTACTCTGTACCTTTTAGTCACATTTTTATCTATATATAAAAGTAGTTATTTTTTGGTAATCAACTTCAACTGTTCAACAACAGTGGGAAGTGATATTTAAAGAAAAACTCCAATAAAATACTACTAATCATAATTTTAACTTGTAGCTTCATAATTCACCCATGAAATTCTCGTGAAGAGACATTTCAAGTTTAATCACAACTTAAGCGTCCACAAGCATCTCAATATCATGCCACAAAAAAACAAGAAACTCAAAGGTGGTAACACGTAAACCTCTATGATAAATTATACAGTAAAATGTGACACAACAAATACACAGTATTGATCTGTAATAATAAATCTGTAAATTGAATTATCAGGTATTTGTAACACCCAAACAGATCCATGATTCAAGCTATTGGTAACGGAACCAACTACAGTATGGAAGTTCCACTCTGTGCAGAAAGCGACAACGCCTTGTTTGTCTGTGGTCATCTCGTGAAGGTGTAAACAGAAGTGTTGGGTCCATGCGAAGTCACCAGTCAACTGCTTCAGTTCCCACCCCATACGCTGTCCCATGTTCCACTGGGACCAGGAGCCTTTGGGCCCTCGATGAAATTTTGACCACCGCGAGGATTTTGTGGGCCAGGGAGCCCTTCGGCACCAGGGTGTTGAGCTTTCTTGGGCTTTGCTTTCACTCCTAATAATCTCAGCACAAACCCTGCAAGCTCCCCATACAATACCCCAGATCGATCAAACAACTGCAAAATACCACCCACAATTCATTATGCCAATTGTATTTCAATCGATTGTATCACACTTGAAAAATATACAAACTCAACAGAACAGTCATTATTAGTCCTCTCACTATATGTGTCAATGACACTTTTCGTATTCATCTTTGAATTTTCCCTTTAATCCTTCGAGACTATCGTGGCACATACACTTTTGGTACTCGTCTTTATATTTTTCCATTGTGAAGTGGAGAACCAAGAGTGTCACTTTCAAATAGTAGGATGATTAAAAGTGGAAATTTTAAGGATGTACAAGAGTATGTCACATTAGTCAACAAGTGGAATAATTAAAAGACTAGTAATAGAAGTGTCATGTACACAAAATTAATAGTTTATATCTCTTTCGATTGCAATGTACTCGGCATTGAAGTATATCAATATATACATTACTCACTCAACTCATCACATGAAAACTAATAAAAAATTGGTTAACTTTTTAATGAATCACAAATACATTAATGGACTATTAGCAATCTATCCAATATAATAAGAATAAATAAGTTACCCCCGAAAAGGTACAATTTGGAATTCACAAACTGTGGAATGGAGGGGAAAAAGTGGGTATAGAAACAGATACCTGAAGTAGTGCAGTCATAAACAGGTGGAATGCCTGGGTATTCTGGTCAATCAACATTGCAATCCGCCCAAAGAAAGTAACCACGCCTTGCATCTGCAATGTTTCAAATATATATATTTAAATATAATGTTTAAATTGTCTAGACAATAGACATAAAGTATGGTCTAAGAAGCAAGAAATGGACAAAAGCGAAAGATGAAGAAAAACCGAAGCAAATCTGGGAAATCTGACTAAGTAGGAAGAGTTGTTTTTTTACATAAAATTTATGCAATAGCTAGTCAACAAGAAATGGGTAAATTCATAAACCATTTGTAAATCACAAAGAGAAACGAAGAAAATGATTCCATCTCGCACTGTTTGAACGTACCACTCGCATCAAGGAAACCCAGAAGTTTGGTGGAGATGAAGGTACCCCAAATGGATTGTTTGGATCTTGCTCTCCATATGGCGCACCTACTCCATAACCACCCATTGGGCCTCCAACACCACTGTTGTACATCCCTCCATTATACATGCCACCTCCATATAACCCACCATAACCTCCTCTATACATGTTGTTCCCATACAATCCACCACTACCGCCACCATACATGCTTGACCCATATCCACCATATGAGCCACCATACGTTCCTGATCCATAACCGGAATTGTAGTTCAAGCCAGAGCCATAACCTGTGTGTGAGACAACAAGACACTACCTATAAGGAACATCAAAAAGATCTATGCTAGGCCATTACACTAAAGGCTTTTGTAATAAAAAATGCTTCGCTGATAATAAATGATAGGGACTCAGACAATAGGAGTAATAATAGAATAATATTAAATATTTTGTTAGTGTACAAGTAAGGGTTCCGGTCATGTAATTCCTGATCTTGGGCCGGCTCTTAAGGATAGGAATAATATAAAAGGGGGAAGGAGAGAAGAATAATGGTAGGCAGAGAGTCTGAATCCATCATCCCTATCATTGGTACCCTATCATTGGTATCAGAGCACTCAATCCTAGAGGCAGAGAGTCTGAATCGATCATCCCAGAGCATCAACGAGCTGGAGTGATGAAGGAATTCTATGTATCGCGAATGGAGAAGAGTATGGATAATATTGAATGCCATTTGCAGGAGGTGAGAACTATGCTTGACGAGAGGCTAGACGGAATGTGCCACTGTGTGTCAACACCGTCGCCGGTGACCTAGAGGCTGATCAAGGAACCCAAGACGTCATCGGCAATCTGAAAAACAAGGCTCGTCACAGTCGTAATCAGCTTCACTGTGAGCAAAGTTCCCCAGTTTGCAGGCTTGGTCATCAACTTCTCCCAGTTCACAAGCCTCGCCGCAAGCAGATTTCCCCACTTCACAGGCTCCGTCATGAGATGATTCTCTCAGATCGCATCAAAGTGCGGCGCCATCGAGAGTAGAATCTCTGAGTTTGCAGACGACAGCCAACAAACGTGAGATATCCAGGAAGAAAGGACATAGACGAGCCGGGATAGAGAAAGAGATGCCGCTATTCAATGGCGAGGACGCCTATGGTGGATCTTCGGATCCAAGGCCTTTGTCGGCTGGTGTTTCCGGTGGCCCTAGCGAAAAGGAGAAAACACATATAAGTTCAATACTGAAAATATCAGTCAAGGAGTTACAGATGATGATAGTGCAGCAAATATGAAGATGGATGACATTATGGTTCCCAAAATGTACTGGTATCTTACTCGTAAAGAGGTTCTTAAAATGGAAGGGATTGATAGAATAAAAATTACAGATGAAGGTTCTCTAGAATTAAGTGAAAGTGATGCTGAATGTAATATTCAGTGGATCAGTGGGTCCCTGCTCCTGAATCAGCAGAAGCTGAAAATAGTGAGGTTCTATGACATCTTACTGTCATGAAGAAATTATTGACTTCTCAGGTGAATCTTTAGTGGGAGGTACCGGAGGATCATTTGTATTTATTTATTTAAAAACTTTGACTCTTCAGGTAGGCTTGATCTAGGTAAGGCTGAACAGGAAGGTGGATGCCAGAGACAGAAGCTATTTAAGTGGCATGACAGTGTGGAAATATACCTCAAAAGAACCCCAGCAACATCAAACGGCATAAAAGATGGATCATATCCAGGGTAAAGGCTGTCCAGTGGACCAGATTTGTGCTTAGAAACACAGCAATTGAGATATTCTTCAACGACTCTACTGCTACAGTGTTTTTTATTATTGCAACACAAAAGGATGCAAGGGATGTTGGCAGCTGGATCATTACAAACAGAAATGAATAAATGTCTCCAAAAGGATACAGGGAGTCAGGGACAAGACTAGCATTATTCCTTCTGTTGATCGACATGTTGCGTTGGAAGCGGCTGAAATATGTAAGGAAAGTTGGAGGAGAAGAGAGAATACAAACTCTGAGCACTTCATGATTCTTCACACACTTGCTGGAAGATCTTATAATGAGTTGACTCAATATCCTGTGTTTCCTTGGGTTCTGGCTGATAATTCATCAGAACATATCAACATACAAGGGTTGTCATTGAACAGAGTGTTGTTCCTAAGTTTATACAGCTTTGTAATTCACCCAATGATGCTGTTCATGAGCAGGCTGACTGACCTTTGGGAAATGTTGCTGGTGATGCTCCAACCTGTAGGGATATGGTTATTGGTCATGGTGCACTCCTATCATTGCGAGGTCAATTAAATGAGCATTAAAAGCTTTCTATGTCGAGAAGTGCTACATGGACTTTGTCAAACTTCTGGCGACACAAGCCACCAACACGATTTGACCTGGTCAAAGCTGCATTGCCAGTCCTTCAGCCATTACTCCATATGAATGATGAAGAAGTTATGAAAGATGCTTGTTGGGCACTTATGTATCTTTCGGATGGACCAAATGATAAGATTCAAGCAGTAATTGAGGCACGTTCCTGTCCACGGCTGGTAGATCATCTGCTTCATCCATCAGCTACAATTCTGACACCTGCCCTCATTATAATTAGAAATAGAGATCAAATAAAAGGCTGTTATTGAGGCATCTGTCTTTTTTCCGTTGGTACACCTCCTTCAAAATGCGGAATATGACATCAAGAGGCTGCATGCCTGCATGGGCTATCTCTAATTCCACCTCTGGAGGCTCTCATGATCAAAATAGGTATGTGGCCAGCAAAGGCTGCATTAAGCCACTCTATGATCTCTTGTAATGTCCAGATCCAAGAATTGTTACTGTGTGCCTTGAAGGGCTGTAAAACATTCTGAAGGTAGGTGAGGCGGACAAAGAAAGGGGATTGAATGGTGGGGTCAATTATATGTGCAGATGGTTGATGAATGTGAAGGAATAGACAAGATTGAGACTCTACAAACTCATGAAAACGATGAGATATATGAAAAGGCTGTGAAAATCTTCAGAAATACAGGGCTAAGGAAGTGAGAGTGATGATAGGGATCTGGACAAGGTGGTTGTCAAAGGGGGAGAGTGATGATAGGGATCTGGACAATAAGAGTAATAATAGAATAATATTAAATACTCCCTCCGTCCCTAATAACTTTGCCAAGTTTGACCGGCACGGGGATTAAAAAAGTAAAAACTGTGTGGTTGAGGTTTGTGCAGAGGAGAGAGAATTAACTGGAACCACAAATTCTTTACTTAAATGGGAAAGTGGCAAAGTTAATGGGACATCCAAAAAAGGAAAGTTGGCAAAGTTATAAGGGACGGAGGGAGTATTTTATTAGTGTACAAGTGAGGGTTCGGGGCTTCGGGCCATGTAATTGCTGAGCTTGGGCCAGCTCTTATGGATAGCATTATTATAAAAGGGGGAAGGAGGGAAGAATAAAGGTAGGCAGAAATTTAGTTGGAACTGGGCTGGGAGAGTGAGGCCTCTCAAAGAGTCTCAAATCTGTTTCTTCTCTTTCTAATTTATGTATTCGTTGGTTTACTGCTTACGCCATTGTAATATGGTGTAATAGTTTCTATATACCTATTGTTACTACTGTGAGGATCAGTACCCTATCAATAAACAAGCTGATCAAGATAGAGTGCCGATATAAAAAAAAGTGATGACAGTATAATCCTTAGAGATACCAATGACTCTTCATAACTTCCAAACAAAATCAGTTAGACGGAAAATGAGTTTAAAGGAAATTAAACTAAAGCATCAACACAGATGAGACAGTAAAATAATATGAATGGTCTTCGGGAGTTCAAAAACTGGCTCAGATTTCAAGATCTACAGCACTACACATATCTTTTCTTTAATCAATTCTAAAACAGTAGCAGACGGTGTGCCTGTTTGGTGAAGCCTGAAATAGTTGAAGTAGCAGAATGGCTCACTAAACTGTCTGCGCTTCTTTGTTATGAAGCAGCAGTCGGTCCATGCAATTTTGGACGCGATTTTCACTATGGGTCATCCGGAAACAGTCTCTCTGTGCTTTAGTATAGGGGTAAGACTGGGTACATCCGACCCCCCCTTACCCCACCGTAGGTGGGGGAGCCTTTGCGGCACTGGGGTAAATGAAAATGAAAATGAAAATGAGCAAAATCTACTAAATGATGTGCCTCAAATGGTTCAATTGGCTAAAGCTGCTGCATTGACTACAAAGCTTATATGAATTATGTTTCACAAAACTATTAAAGACAATAATAATCCCTTTGCTACTTTTCCCTCTTAGGAAAGAATTGAGGGCTTATAATGATTCTTTCCCTTCTAAATACATCTCAACCAGATGATGAGACCACATAGTTTTATTTTTTTTCATTTCCTTAAACGCTGTGTACAGTCAAATGAGGAAGATAAAATAAGTTCAATGATAGTAACAAAAAATGAAGGTCAAAACATTGTCGTGTTTTTAAATTTCAGCCGTTTCAACAAAAAACAACTCATGCCATATTTTTTTGTTTACCAACCAATTCAAACTAAGTTGGTGTTTGGACAAATTCCAAATCCAAGTGAGGAGTTACCCAAACAAGCTCTATATCTTCAAGAAGTAATACTCCAATGAGGTGTTGGCAACACTTTAATGAACTCATGAATATTTGAAATGGGATTTAACAATGATGTGTGCCAACAACCTAATACATTGGGTAAATGTATGACTGACTGACTGAGCATATAGATACTAGATGATAGTAATCTTTGTCAATTACCATATTGAAGAAATAAAACTATATAATCTATATAATCATTATAATGTGATCTATGTAATAAATTTTTGTGCTACTAGGTGGGGAAAACTATGCTGAAAAAAAGAAAGAAAGTTAATACCTCCATAGGTGCTTCCATATGTCTGTTGTTGCTGTTGCTGCTCCCAAGGCCGGTTAGGTACAGGCCGTGCAAGCACATTTGTGTTAGCAGTTGTATTATTCCTGTTAGCTGAATTGACTATTTCTCCTGGATTAGCAGTTCCTGATGTCTCCACGACATCACTTGTGCTTCCCGGAGAGGGAGGTTTAAAAGGTGCAGGACCAGAAGAGGATGCAGCTTTTTCCCATGGTTTGGGTGGAGAGCCACTGCCTGCCACAGAATCAAATGAAAGTTAGCAACAGATTAGATACAAATATTTAACAGGTGGTTCAGTTATCACTTATCAAGAGTCCAAATCAGAGCATATACGAATATACTCCGTATATATTACTTCGTATTTCTTGAGAGAAGAAGAGTATGTGAAGATAAATATTTATTCCTTGAGAGAAGAAGAGTATGTAAAAAGAAGTATAGCTTTGTTAGGATTTTTTTCAAAAGTAGGTAAACTATGGAAGGATCAAGAGATAAGCAGTACGCATTGTAAATCGTAAACTGCACTTATTTTCTCTATGCTTTCACAGTTTTCTTTTCTGGCATCCCAGAAAAGATCTTCCCATCTCCTTTTAAAAACAGAATTGAGTGGTATCATAATATTTTCTTCATTTGAATGGAAAGGTAATCTAAATAGGATAAACTTTACCTAGCAAACAAAGGAAACACTTTTCCTGTGAATAAACCAGGAAGAAAAAGTTTTTCCTTGTTGATCAAAAGACCCCTAAAAGAACAAAAAATAACATGTTCTTGATAGACATGAATGCTAAGAAGACAGGATGAGAAATGTAAAAATCTCTAACACTATGCAGTAATATATCATTCACAGGGTTGTGACTTGGGATGCCAAACAATTTGATTGTATCCAATGACTTAACACATTGCTGATTAGCTCAAATGATAATTCGGCTGGCTCGGATATCAAACAAATCCCAATATATGCAATTGATCGCAAGACACTAAACCCTTGTTTCCGAATGGAATAGCTAAAAATGATCACAAAATAAAACTGATATCTTCTCACTGAGAAAAACTCTCCGTGATTCGCTAGATCAATCCATTCGATTTCTACAGCCTGAAAAATATAAAAACTCCCCAGTTTCTTTTCAGTTTCCTTCATAAATCAATATAATGACCAAACCTAGATCCATCACATACCCGAATTACAAAATGAAAGAAATCGTACGGACCTATAGTACTTTAATTTCGGGTACCAAAACAACCAGGACCGGAAAATAATACTTATGGATTTTAAGAGAAAAAGGAAACTAGATACAAATCGAATTCTGTAAACCTGATGGCTGCGGATTGTTCTCCATCAAAAAAAAAAAGCGGCGGCGTGTGGGGTCTCCGGCTATACAACCACCGCAGAAGTACTAGATGGATGTGGGGGTCGCCGTAATCATTTATCGATGATCTTTAGTAATACGGAGTACATCAAATAATATGAGTAATACGGAGTAAGGGGTTTTAAAAAAAATAATAAGGAGCAAGGGATTCCGTAGTTATGGAAAAAGGGTCAAATAAGCCCATCTACTATTGCTCAACCGTCATATAAGCCCATGAACTTAAAAAAGAGTCAGACAGATACACTTACTCTGTAAAATATGTCACATGAGTCAAATGACCGGTTAGTAATTGGGAATTCCCGGTGGACGGCTTAGGTGTCCCGTTTTTTTACATGTCTTGGCATTTTTGTTCCACCTCAGCAGGTTTCTGCTTTACAATGCTCGAGTAAGGAGAAGTCTGCATCTTCGAGTGAATCCCAGAGGAAGGAAGGGTTAGGGTTTTTTAGCAAACGAACTTCGAAATGTCTTCATCTTCATTTACTTCAAATAGAACGGATATTCCAGATCTTCACTATGAACCGAGCTTGTATTGTTACTGTGGTATGAAGGCTCCGTGGTGTGTTATTAGAGGAAGCGGGCGGAAGTTCTACGGATGTCAACGATGGAAGGTAAATGAAGCTAAATTTGCAGTTTGATTTTTATGATTTTGTGCTGGAATTGATAATATCCGCTAGCTGAATTAAAAGCTGGTTATTGCATATTAAAGAATCCAAAACCAGAGCTGAGAAGCAATTTTGTGTGGTCTATACACTGCAACACCCACACACTCAGTATATGTACTACATACAAATGAATTATTTTACTTCGTACTAAATTTCAAATGTACTACCTCTCAAACAGTTGAAAATTTTAAGCCTTATCCTTAAAATTTTAACCACACATTAACACATCTCACTACACTGGGAATAGGTGATAATAAGACCACTATAGAAGGAAGTTTATTTTTGGATGAAAGGTAATAACACTGGTAATAACTTCAACTGTTTCTTATGTTTATATAAAATGTGTCATTATATAAAAAATTCAATCCTTTAGCAGCTCACAAAACTTATACCTTTGTACACTGGTTTAAAATAGTACGTAATATTAGACATTTACAGTTGCTAGTAAACGCACAGTAAAATATGCTAAAAACACACATTTACAGCTTCATGTAAAAGGTGGAATTTATTTTTCATTTCAACATTTTTATGTTCTGTTTATTGGGTAATAATATAAATGTGATAATAATAATTATTTAGATTGATTAAAACTGTTGCAGGAAGGACAAGGGTGTGGATATTTTGTTTGGAAGGATGAAAGTAATATACAACAACAGCCCAAATTCAGCTGGGGGGAGGACGGTGCTTTATGATTTACGAGAGCAAATGATTCGCGTAAAAGCAGCGTAGCAGGCTGACATCGATGAGAATAAGAGATTTAGATTGGTAGCTGGACTTGTAATGAGTGTGATCCTAGTAATGTTAATGTACATTTGTGTACTAATTAAAGGAATTAATTGATGGAGTTGTAATGTAGGTTAGGGAGCATGTTTCTGATAATTTATGTAGTCCTTTGGTCATATGTATCCTACAAAATTCCTTGTAACAATCATGACAACATTCTGATGTAGGTTGGGCAACATATTTGATGTTTCTTTTAGTCTCTCTTGCTTGGGATTATTCATAGATCCTGCTTTATGTTTTCAGAAATGTCATTGAATAGCAATTATGTGTGTTCGAGTATCAACCATTGTTAAAAGTATTTTTTTTATATTGGGTGTAGAACATTGAGCAAATATGACATGCATTCGTTCCAGAGTACTTGAGGTAAACATAAACAAATCTGCTAAACACATTTGCCATACTGATGCTAAACAAAAAAAATGCATATTCTCCAATACATATTGACCTTCTTTTCACTTTGCATATTCTCCATCTTTAACCCAAACACTATCATCCTAACCCATAAACAAGTTGGAAAAAAACTGTATATACACACAGAATGCAGTTTTATCAGTAACTAATGAACAAACTGATATGTCCAAACATGCAAACATATGATAGGGGAATTTAAACATGCCAAACATTTTAGTTTAATTACATTACAAAAAAGGCATTTAAGCCACTGTCACAGTGCATAGGGCATTACAAAACAAAAGGGATTTAGCCCTTTACAGCAAACACCAGGACATTATAAAAGCTTAACGGGTTTATCCCTTTACAAAATTTAGCAAAAATTAGGACATTACAAAGCTTCGCAGGTTTATCCCTTTACAAAATTTAGCAAAAATCAGGACATTACAAAGCTTCACAGGTTTATCCCTTTACAAAATTCTGCAAGCTCTTAAAAGTAGATGTCGGCTTCTAAAATCCACCGACCAAGACATGTGCAGGGTTGTACTTCCCATATCAGAGTACGTGTTCACTTGATAGTCCCGGCTACAAAAAAAATATGTTAATGACATACATGACAGTGCATAGAGTAAATCGAAAACTTTGTAATTTCATTAAAGAAATACATACATCTATCACAGTTTCTCCTGTTTCAGGCTCCATATAAATCCCAAAACCCTTCTGCCTTCTTTTTTTGTTTTGAGGTCTAGCACCCAGTTCTTTTGCACCTGCTTTACTTCTTCTTTTTGATGGTTTGGATGGTATATTAGTTGACGTGTTGGCTGTCTCGGTGGACTTGTTTGCACACTTCGCTTTGTTATGGCCGGGCTGCTTGCATATAGAACATGTCATAACTTGGCCTTTGCGTGAAACTTTAGTCCGGTCCTTGGCAGATGACCTTTCAGTCGCTTCACGATTTCTTTTCCTCTTTGGTCTCCCAGTTAATTTTTTGGTGATTGGCGGAGCAATGTCATTGTTTTGTGTTTTCTTCCATAACAGTTCCCCATTCATTGGTTCCAAATGATATGAATATATCTTGTCATACACCTCCCTTGAGTAGCAATCATCCAAATAATCTTCCGGGTCCCCGCCGTTGTCGAATATAGCACAGACACCGTGAGCGCAAGGTATTCCGTTCAAATCCCATGCTCTACAAACAGTAAATACCACACGGAAACCACAAAAAGCATGGTCAAATACACAGTTAATCCAAACAAATTAACTCACTTCTAACCCTTTGAATTTTTCTTTAGATACAATCAAGAACATCTCATGAAAAGAATAACCCAAAAACTTCCTAAACTATGAGTGCATAACGCAGTATCAGTACAATATACCTTATATACGACCAATATTACTTACTTGAACGCAGTATCAGTAGATCGAAATTGCTTCAGTGATAGAGGCGAGCCTCTAAAATCGCTATGATTGTGTCGAAGTCCATTGATGTCTTTAAGCGCTACTCAAAATCGCAGGAACCCCAAAATCGCAGGAACCCTAATTAGCGGGCAGATGAAGCTAACTTAGTCTGCGACTAAACATCCAGGCTGGAAAAAAAATTAGCGTGACCATAGTAAAGGGGAACCAGCTGATGTGGAAAATTTTGTCAGCCATGTAAAAAACGGGACACATAAGCCGTCCACCGGGAATTCCCAATTAATAACCGGTCATTTGACCTATGTGCTCTATTTTATAGAGTAAGTGTATTTATCTGATTCTTTTTTAAGTTCGTGGGCTTATATGACGGTTGAGCAATAGTACGTGGGCTTATTTGACCCTTTTTCCCGGATTTTTTTTGGGGAAAGTTCCCGAAATGGGACTAAAAAAGTTTGGAAATTCCAAAATAGGACTTTCATGTTTTTATTCTCAAAATAGGACTAATTACTGTCATGTTTTGGCAGTACCAGACTTCAAACATGGCAGTATTTTCCAAATTTGGCTGTAATTAGTCCTATTTTGGGAATAAAAACATGACAGTCCTATTTTGGAATTTTCAAACTTTTTTAGTCCCATTTCGGGAACTTTCCCAAAAAAATACCTCCTCTCCCCCTAAAACTTTTCTAACTATTTTTACTCTTCCACTAATTTTATAACTTTTCATTTTAAATAAAAAATTTATGGTCAAGTTAATTCTCTTTTCTTAGTACAAATCTCAACAAAAAGTTTTTACTTTGATAATCCTTGTATTGGTCAAACTTTACCAAATTTTATGAAGATGGTATAAACAACGGAGTTACGGAGTATTAATTTAATCAATGGTTTGTAGTTATAATCAACCAATAATCAACTCAAAAGTTATCTATCTTCTGACAAATGGGCAACATAGGTATCTTCGTGATCATTAAGGTCGTGTACTCTGCCTCATCAACAAACTTAAAAGAGTCAAAGAATCACTATATCTTTGATGAGACATAAAATAGTTCATACAAAACAGAGCCAAATTTTTCGTTGAGCATACGCGCGCTTCAAGATAAATAACGATCATAAACACCACAAAAAAGGCATTGAGACAAACAAACCAAAAATGTAAAAAGTCTAAAGAAGCGTAAATAAAGCTAAAATAAAAATATAGAGCAATAAACTGCGTGCAACCAAAATCAAACTCAAAGCACTTACAAACTCTGGTCACACGATCATTCTATAGCGAGAGTGCAGGAGGTGGACAATCCGGCAATGTTACACCCTCTTCCTCCCCCTTGCTCCTTGTCATGCCTTCACTTTTGGCACCTAAAGCATGCCACGAAACGCCAATCGCCATCTCATTGGTCACCGGTCACACAGCCTTGTTTGGTGATTGTCAGTGTCGGGATTGAATCATGAAGGGATGGAGTAGCCTTGTCCCTAACCGTTTGAGCCCTAATTAGTCACATTTTGTTAAAAACACTGATAGAGTATATGGCCCTGACCCCATGACGCACACATTCGTATAAGAAAATCATCAAGACACCGGCACACCCCTTGGTTTGTCCCCTCGGCCAAACGAGCCCACTCCTACAGAGGAGGCCCAAAAGCTACAGATCAGAGGAATGGAGCAAGAATGGTCATCTCGGCCTTGCATCCTCGGCCAACCCACCTCAGCCAAGACTTCCGCAAGGCAATTCCCACTTAATACTTAGCACGATAGGTTCATGTAATCAGCCCATTCGCGGCCCACTATTGTAATCAAGCCCGGGATCCCTATCCACAATTCATCTATAAATGCCGTCCTTAGGGATAGTTGTAGAGTGAAAAACATTGAACACAAAGATTTCTCTCTCTTTAGCTCTCACTACTTCTCTCTAGATCTATAATCTATCA